GTAATGTCTATCTTTGTGGCTGAGGTGTGTTTCTTGTATGTAGCAGAATATTGGGTCCTGTTTATGCATCCCTTTCTTAGTTGTTATCTTTTTATTGGAGAGTGGAGTCCATTGATGTTGAAAGATATTACTGACCAGTGACTGTTAGTTCCTTTTATTTTGATGCTGGTTGAGGTAGTCTATTTCTGTGCTAGTTTACTTTTGGTTTTGCTGTAGTGAAGTTATTTATATCCTGTGTTTGGGGGGGTATGATTAACTTCTTTGGGTGGGAGTTTTCCTATTAGTATCTTCTGTAGAGCTGGGTTTGTGCATAGATATTTAAATTTGGTTCTGTCAAGGAATATCCTGCTTTTTCCATCTATGGTGATTGATAGTTTTGTTGGGTATAGTAGTCTAGACTAGCATCTGTGGTCTCTTAGGGTTTACCAGACATCTGCTTAGGACCTTCTGGCTTTTATGGTCTCTGCTGAGAATACAGGTGTGAATTTGTCAGGTGATAGGTTTGCCATTATATGTTACTTAGCCTTTTTCCCTTGTAGTTTTTAATATTTTTTTCTTTGTTGTCTACATTTAGTGTTTTGATTATTATGTGGCTGGAGGATTTTCTTTTCTGGTCTAATCTATTTGGTATTCTTTAGGCTTCTTGTATGCCTACAGGCATCTCTTTCTTAAAATTGGGAAATTTTTCTTCTATGATTTTGTTGAAAAAATTTTTCTGGTCCTTAGAGCTGGAAATTTTCTCTTTCTTCTATCCCTGTTAGTCTTTGGTTTCTTCTTTTCATATTACCCTTGATTTCTTGGATTTCTGTGTCAGGAAATTTTTGGATAGATTTCTTCCATTGTGTCTTCTACACTTGAGATTCTTTTCTCCATTTCTTGTATTCTGTTGTTGGTGCTTACCTCTGTATTTCCTGTTTTCTTCCCGAAGTTCTCCCTCTCCAGAATTTCTTCAGTTTGTGCTTTCTTTAATGTTTCCATTTCCATATTCAGATCTTAAGCCATTTTTTTATTTCCTTCACCTGTTTGTTTGTATTTTCCTCCCTTTCATTCAATTCCTATGCCTGTTTGTTTGAACTTTTCTTTATTTCTTTCAATTATTTAACTATTTCCTCTCTAAAGGCCTCGATCTTTTTTGACTGAATCTTGCTGTATTTCTTTGTGGATTTTACTCATTTTCTCTGTTATCATCTTCATAAGCGTAGATGTTTCAGTTGTGCATGGGCATCCGGGTCTGCTTGCCTTTGGATAATGCGGGATGCCCTGCTGCTTTGGCTTTGCTGGTTGTTTTCATGCTGACCTGCAGCCATTGGTGGTTGCTGGCAGTGGATATTGGACCCTGTTTCGCACAGGAGTTCTCAGGGAGGCAGGAGGAGCCCTGGGTAGGAAGGATGTTCCTAAAGGAGCCCTTTTCAGACTGGTGGGTGGTTCTCAGGGAATTGCCTGTGGGTCTCCTCAGATGTTTGATCCTGAGGAGCAAGCGGATTCTTCAGGAGCTCAGGGATCTTCCTTTCGAAGACGGAAATCCAGGAGTCAGCTTGCCCTGCCACCGGCTTTCTAGCTCTGAGGTTCAAGCACTGTGCTTGCTTGGAATCGCCTTTTTAGAGAACCTGTGAGCACAGAGGTCTCTCTGGTCTCCTTAGGGAGATGGGTTGAGCCTTGAAGCAGTGTCTGGGTTGTTTCTGTGAGTACTGAGCATCGGGAGGCCCAAGGTTGGAGCCGCTTGCCAGGGATTGTGAGAGTGGGCCCAAAGTTTGGGATCACGGGCACCCCTGGTACTAGAAGGTATCCTTTCCAGAGATGGTGACAGTGGGTGCCAGAGTTTGGAACTTGGAGCTACTGGTACCGGGCAGTGTCTGCGGGAAGGTGAGAGTGGGCCCTGAGTTTGGAGCTGCACCCTCACCCCTGCCCCCACCCCTTGTACCAGAAGGTACTGCTCTATAGATCAGTGAGAGTGGGTGCTCAAGATTGGTGAGGCAAAGTACAGGTGCCAGAAGCTGTCCACAGGATGGTGAGAGAGGCACCCAGGTTTGGAGCCTCACCCCCGGTACCAGAAGGGATCCACTCCATGGACAGAGAGAGTGAGCCCTAAGGTCAGAGCTTGGTACCTTGGTTCCCCTGGTGCCAGGAAGGTATCCACAGAAGGGGGTGGGGGACGCCTTGGGCAGTGACCTAGGGCTGTGGCTGTGCCCAGCAGGAATCTGAGAGTTTTTTCTAGTAGTGGCCAGGTGGCCTGAAGATGGACACTCGAGTTTCCCTGTGAAACACGGACGTCAAGGTTTTAGGGCCCACAGGAAGGCCTGCCAGTCACTCTGCTCTCACTGCTGAGCTGCTGTTCAGATACCCTGCATGGTCAGAGCTGTCATCTTGGATCTACCCCCATATGTGCTCGCTTTTATTCACCTGATAAAATTGTCATCTCAGAGGCTTTATCTGCTAACCTAGGCCTAATCCTGGACGCTTCTAGATTCCATATAATCTTATCCAAGCCTAGGATATTTTCAGCTTCTGAGACTGCTGAATAAGTTCACCCTTTCTAGTTCTTCTGAATTATTGATGGCTAATTTAACTCAGCTATTTTGGCTCAAACTCCTCTCCAAGCAGAGTGATGCAAACTGTATTCTCTCTCTGCCTCCAACTGAATTGCTCTGCTTGGCCTTGTACTTACTTCAGCAATAAGTTCTAATCTTCCGGCTCCTCCTCAATTTCTACTTCATTCTGTCTTCACCTGTGTTTAGCTTATTCTCTTCAACCTGTCTCTAAACTCTACCAGTAAAACCTGCCTCTGGATTTCACAAACTGAACTGCCATGAACTCAGCTCCACTGCATTGCCTCTCAACTCACTGACTCAACTTAACTGACTACACAAAACAGATCAGAACGCAAGAGATCTGTGTGCCTCCATCTCCGCAGTTCTGAGATTAAAGGTGTGAACCACCATTTCTTGTCCTAAGCTTTTCTTTACCTGAAACTTGTTCTATACCAGACTGGCCTTGAGCTCAGAAATCTGCTTGGCTCTGTCTCCTGAGATTAAAGGTGTGTTTGTGTTCCAGCCAGATCCTACAGCCCTGAAAAGTCTTCGGATGTGATCTCTTGCCAGAGCAGTCATGTTCTGAATTAAAATTCCGATACACATGAAGCTCCAGCCTCTTCTGATACAGCTTTCTGAATTCCTTAGATCTGGAGAAAAATAAATGAATCAAAAGACAAAAATAAAATAAGGGACCAACTTTCTCCTCACCCCATTAGCCATATTGTTGGGGGAAGAGAGAGAAGAGAGCCACAGTGAAAAGCCACTATGCACTCTGTGAAGATGTTGATGCTGCCTTCAGTAAGGGAGGGCACAGTAGGCTTCCAGAGGCTGCAAGCGCCTGGAGTTGGCAACACACTTCCCAGCAACTGTGTCCAGCCATTTTCAGCCTGGGCTGCTGGACACATAACCCCACAGTGCTTATAAAACTAAGCCCAAGACTGTTTCACTATAGGAAGGACCTTCACATTCAAACTGACATGCTCTAATTAGGTTGGATTTTTTTTTTTTTTTTTAATTTTAGGTTCATAGGTTTCAGCAACTTAGGGGATGAGTGTTGTGATAAAAGAGTAAAAGTTACTTAACAATGACTGAAGGTTAAATTCTGGCAGTTCATACAGATTGCTGTGGTCCAGGCATTTAAGGGAAAATATCACTTACTCCAAACAGGTACTCTCAAAATGTCTTCTTGTTTTTCAGTCTCTTTTTCAAAAGCCCACCTTCGATATTGGAGACTTGGCTTAACTTTTATTAACTTAGCTGAACCTGGAAATGCTTCTCTTTATGCAATATCATTGTGGTTCTAGAAATGAGTACAACTCCCTCTGTCACCTGACAGATTCTCTTCTGTGGTAAACTGTCAACTTCAGTGTAACTGGTCCTTGCTCCTTCCTAAAAAAAGTGACAGCAGGAATCCTTGGGTCTTTTCTTCGGTAATACACTTACATCCATTGGGTTTGTGAGAGTTTTTTCAAGGATATACACTATGATTCTCTTCCTTTGTGTCAAAAGCGTGTTCATTGTATGTGTGTGGTTGCATGTGCATTGTGAGTATATGGGTGAGCTCGTGTATGTGTATTTGGATGTAGGCGATCCCATGTCTCTACCCATTGAGTTGCCATGCCTGCTTTCTTGGCTGGCATTTGTGTAAGTTCTGAGAATCTGAATTCCTATCCTCATGTTTAAATACCAACTACTTTAACCACGGAGCCATCTCCCTGGCCCCATCAAATTCAAGGAGCAGTGTTGACGAGGGGACAGAGAAATGTAAGAGCCAGAAATAGTGGATGTCTTCAGCAAAACAATATTTTCAGGATGTGACAGGGCCATTGCACATATGAACTCACAGTGGCAGGAAATGCACACACACAACCTACATAGTAGCAAGCCAACCACAATCCCAGTATGGATGGAGAAGGGCTTCGTGAAGTCCCACCACTAGCTAGGAAGCTATTGGAAGTTGATGGCTGCTGGGAGAAGGACAGCAATCGTTGTTCAGACGTGTGGATTCAAAAAAGCTACCCATGTTCCTACAAATGACCCTGTACCCATTGCACATAAAGGCAGCTCAAAGTGGATCCAGACATCTTTTGAAGATGCATGTCATCATTGCAGGGTCCATCTGGAGAAAAACAAAGTCAAACCTTCCTGAGGGTTCATAGACACCTCCATGTTTAAGTTTGAAATCAACATAATGGCCGGCCCTGCTTTTGGCAGAATCCTTACAGAAAGCTTACCAAGAGCAAAGGGGAGAGGTGATTTCTGCTTACCTTCTCACTCCTTTTGGCTGTGGAACTTCTGTTTTGTGTTTCTGGCACAAAGCCTTAAGGTCATTTCCTCTATGTGTTATTGGATGTATTTTGCCTTATTGTTGGTTTTTCCTTAAAGTTAATAAGAGCTATGAGCAGTGATGTATTATTCATCCTGTGTGCACAAACCATGCATTTATCTAGCGTTTCTTTCATTTGCAAGAGCATGCACTCGACAGCGCATGCTGAGCGGATCATTCGAGGGGCAGCCAGCAAAGGAAAGGTCGATCCTCAGCGTGCAGCATCACATCCGCCAGGAGCGCAGGTAAATACTCCAGGAAGATGAACTCCAAAGACACCCAGAAAAGGACTTTACAAGTATCTCAGTACAAAGCCCAGGCCTCTACCCTTGTTGGCAAGCAAGCATGGTGAGGACCTGGGTTCTAGCTGCTGGTGGTAACAATAAAGAAATTCCCTATCTGATTCAAAGATTTTAAAAATCTTTACTTCAAAGATTCTTTTCTTGATAGCCAAAGTCTCACTTTTAAGATCAGAAAGAACAAAAATCTGAAATCTTGTTAGGTGGGATCAAAGACTTGTGGATAGACATAAGCTTTTGCTTTACAAAGAAATGAGTCATTTCTGATATATCAGGAAAATCAATCTTTTACTCATGATTATTAATTACAACTTAAAACTCCACGTCCTAGGATGTTTTGACAAGTTGACTGTGCTTGCTCTAGGTCACTAAGACATGGATCCAACAGCCAGAGGATCAGCAGAGGCAAATCTCTTGAAACCTTAACTCAAGATGTGAGTTCTTAAGCCAAGCTTTGGATTTTGGAAACTTGATTAGAAATGTGTATTTAAATGATTGCTTAGACAGTTCTTATGCCTGAGTTTTTCTATCATCATTAAATGTTTTCCTATTAGAGGGAGTCAGGAAATTCAGAAAGCAAATTACATGGCCAGGTACCAGAAATAGACCATGAAATACAGAAATGCAAAAATATAGACATCCGATGCATAGCACATGCCTCAGTTCAAAAGACTAACACGAAATTCAAAGAACAGCTGGCTGTGAGTCCCTGGCCCCTCCTGATATATGAACAGCACAGCCACACCTAAGGTGCAGTAGCACTGCAGAAGAGGGGACAGAAAGACTGTAAGAGACAGAGGACCAGGCTATCTTCTGTGTCCTCTGTTAGGACAGGGAAACTGCACCAGTGAAATCTCACCAAGGAGGTAGCATAAACAAGAACTGAACCACAATACCAGTTGACATGCCAATGTGGATGAGGGAAATCTCAGAAAGCCACACCTCTAGATGAGGAGTCTATAGACAATTAACATCTGCTGAGAGAGGGAGAGTCTGGAATAACTACTTACCCAATGCCAAGGGGTGAGCCCTAAAACAGAGACATCCACGTAACACCAAATGGGCTCTGCGGGTTATATTTATATAAGCTAGTCTGTTATTTCATGGCTTTTTGTTGGGGGATTGAGACCATTATTACTGAGAGCTACTAATGAGTAGTGCTTATTGACTCCTGGTTCTTCGCTTTGAATACCCTAACAGAAATGCACAGTCTGCTTGCGAGTCCAGTAAGAACATGATTTTGGAGATGTGTGTTAGAACAACCCATGAAGGGACTGATGTAGCCCAGATGGACTAAAACTCACTATGTAGCCAAGGATTACCTTGAGCTTCTGAATCTCTGGCAGTGTACTGCCATGCTGAATTTTGCATTTCTGGGGTTGGAATCTGGGGCTTTTTGCATGCTAAGAAAGAACCCCAATACCGGAGCTACTCAAAACTATACATCCCCAAACATTCTTATTTATTCTAACTTAATTTTTTAAAATCTTCTTCTGGCTGTTCTCAGCAGTATGATAGGTGCTGGCACATCCTGAAATTTCAATAAGTATATTTTATAGGGAAAATTAAGTTATCTACATACTCATGGCTTTTAAACTATGTGCATATGAAATGTTTTATATATATATATATATAAAGTGTATAGATATCATATGTGTCATAGTCTGCATATAGTGTGCAGTGTGCATATTTTTAAAGTCAATTTTAATTTAATTTTAAAAACAGTCTTTTAGGTCTTTAAAAGTCCTCCACTGTACGTATACCTTTTATTTCTAGCATTCGAATACAGTGCGATACAGAAATGCACAAAGAGAAGACAGTGAAATAAAAATGATTCAGGAGAAGAAGGAGCAAGCAGAGATGAAAAGGTACTGGCTATGGCTATGTCCACAAACTCTTACTTGGGCGTGTCTCTTTCCCTTGGCCTTTTTCTGATTCCATAAATGTCTCCTTGAAGGAAAGTACAAGAAGAGGAGCTACGAGAGAACCACCCATACTTTGACAAACCCCTCTTCATCGTGGGGCGGGAGCACAGGTTCAGAAACTTCTGCCGTGTGGTGGTTCGAGCACGCTTCAACGCGTAAGTATGGGCCACTTGCTACGCTCGGACCAGGTGTTTGTCCTGAGTCCTGTGAACAGCAAGGAGTTTGTCACAGGAAGATAAAAGGACAGTGTGGTCCTAATGGGGTCACAAAATAAACCATGAGCTAATTACTCACCCTGCTGCTCTTTGCTGTGCCTGATCAGGTGGAAAACAAAGGCTTCAAATGAGTGGCATTTGGAGGAGGCTCCCACTGATAAGGCATGTAACAGCTGTGTGTGTTCAGCACATTGTTGACTTTTGTATGTGCTGGTGTTACTTAGTCTCAATTTTCCTTTGAAAGCCTTAAACAGAAGAAAAACTAATGAGGTTGTGAAGGGTATTGTTGAAAGCTTCTCTCAGACTTCCACTTTCTGATGAAAACCTTTATTCTAGAACAAAGTGCAAAGAAAATGTTATCTGTTGCTTGTATTACTAGTCATTATGAGAAAAAACCATCTAGCCACTATCTGTACCCTGCTCCTGTGGAAGAAGTGGGTAAGAACCTCAGGTTCGATAGCGCTATAGATGCTGCATTTGTGGAGACCTAAGCCAACTATAGTCAATCAATGGATAAAAGGAATTTTTGCCTAGTGTAACTTCAAGTACGTATCACAGGTATTAAGAGTCCTGGTATGGGTCTGGGGAGATAGCTCAGCAAATAGGAACCTCAAGTTGACCTTCAGCATCATGCAGAAAGCTGGGCATGATGGCAAAGGTTGCTGGGCTCACTGGCCAGCAGCCTTGGACTAGTGGGTGATTCTCAGGTCCCGGTGAAAGGTTCTGTGTCACACTACACGGTGGGTGGCTCCTGAAGAATGACATCAGAACTCTGGCTTCCACTTACATAAATATACAAGTGCACCCCCCCCCACATACACATACATACGCACGCTCGCGTGCACACACACACACACACACACATACATGAAAGACCTGGGAAAAATATAAAAATTCTGCACTTTCCTTATGTGATTTTTCTTTCCCTGTACCCTCATTTGGCTACATGAATGTCCTTTGTTAGTAATTAATATCATACAATATCATTATCATTGAATGTTCAACTGTTTCTACAAAAAAAGTCCATATATTGTAGTCATAACCTCCAGTATCTCAAAATGTGGTGATGTTTGGGGACAGGAACGTTAAAGAGCTAGCTAAATTAAAATGAGGTCTTTAAGTTGGTATCAGCCTGGTTTCTCATTCTCTTCTAAGAAGAGGGGGTGTTGTGGCTTATTAATATTTAATATTGATTTATGTTTTAGTTACACAGTGGTTATTCATAAACTGGCTGTATTCCCACATCACTACACAGAGACTGGGATTTACTTAATTAATCTAGAGCACAAGGCTGGGCAATAGTTACTCCATCCTAAACCTCCAAGCCCGCATAATTTTCAGCCATTCAGATTTCCCAAGTTATACTTGCTTTTAGTCATACTTTAGATCCAGTTCATCTCTCCTCATGGTTCCAAGTTCTGTGCTACTGACCTCTCCTCCCCAACTCCCCCCACTCGCTTCTTTCTCCTCCCCTGCAGACCAGGATGTCCCACCCTATTCTCTCCACTGCTCAGCATTGGCTGGTTGTTTCATTGACAATACAAAGAACAAATGGTGGCATGTTTACACAAACTTGAGACAGGTGATGCTTAGAATAAACATCACATTGCAATGTCCGGATTGAAACCACACAGTGGGGTAGAGAAATCAGCATTTGAATGAACAAGGGTAAATTGTATACATTCCACAAGAACATTATACCAACAAGGGAGTTTGGACACAAACCCAAAAAGAGGAAGCCCATGTGAAGATGTGAAGTGGAGCGTCCTGGAATGGATCCTGGCCCCACTGGACTCAGAAGGACGCAACACTACGACATCTTGTTGTTGGACTTCCAGACCCTATAACTACATCACAAAACAGCCTCCCATGCTTACACCATCTTTACAGACAGTTACAGCATCACTATGAAACCAGTGTGAACTGTTCCAACATCACAGAACTAAAGAGCCCTCAAGACTATGTGGTACCCTGTATACTCTCCTGTGTGGTCAGTGGTCAACTTGGGGGAATTAGAGTCACCATGGAAACAAACCTCTGAGCATGCCTCTTTTTAGATGGGTACATTGTAGTAGGAAGATCCACTCTGTGGGAGGCATCATTTGTAAGTTTAAGTCCCAGTCAGAGTAAAAAGGAAAAAGCAAGCAGAGCACCTGCATTCATCATTCTCCGCCTCTTCGCTGGGTGTAATGTGATGAGCTGTCGTAAGCTCTTGCCTCCATGGCTGTCCCGTCATGATGGACTGTACCTTTGAAATGTGCGCCAGAATGAACCTTCCATTTCCTAAGCTGCTGAGGTCGGTTACTTTGTCACAGCAACAAGGAAGTAACTAATGCATACCCATACCAACCAAGGAAGACATTTAGGTCTGTGAAGGTTGACGGTTTTACCCAAGGACAGCAGTTAGTGTGTGACCGACTCCTTCCTGATCACCGTTCATGAATTACCCTGTTGGCTGCCTACAAGTTAACACCTAATTACTAGTTCTCCACCTCATTTAGTGTGGTGTAAGTCTCCTTTTGTCAGCAACACATCTGAATGTGCTGAGGAGACCTTGTGATTGGGAACACACATACAAAGCCTGTTAGGGCCTCACTTAGAGTCACCCACAGGATCCCTAAAACTAAGCCTTAGGAATCACCTTCCATGAAATGCCACATTACTTCTTTCCACAGGACGACAGTGAGGTTGGGAGTGAAGAACTCTTTTTAATTGATGGGGTATCTAACTAAATAATTATGAAGAACATCTTTAACCTAGTAACATGTGCATCTTAAATTAGGGTTTTTAAAGGAGAGCCAAGGTTAAACTTTGTGATAAGTCATGCCAGAAATCCTTGAATGGAGTCTCAAATCCAAAAACAATAACTTGAGAATTCTTTTGATTGTTCTTTTCTCCTGTGTTCTCTGCCTTCCACAGTGATATGCAGTTAGCATATTTCATAATAGTCATTTATAGAAGTTATAAAAAGATGTTCAGATGGAGAGATGCTTGTGATTACTAACACTTCTGCTGTGTTGAAGAATTTTATATGCTGTTCTCTCTTAAAGATCCAAAACAGATCCTGTCACGGGAGCAGTGAAAAATACAAAATACCACCAACTTTAGTAAGTATGACAAGCTCTGTCTTCCCTGTGTATTTGAACTTCAAATATACTATTTTTTTCCTTCATAAAAATACAAAATTTTAGGTTGGGGAGTTATGTAGGGTGGCAATGTAAACACAGAGGCCTGTTTAAACCCCAGCACCCATATTTAAAAAAAATGCCAGATACAGTCTCATGTGCTTACAAGCCTTGAATTGGAGGCCAGATAAAGGTTCAGTGAGAGAGCCAGGTTCAAGAATATGAAGTAGAAAAGAACCCAGCATCCATCTCAGATCTTTCCATGTCTAGGCGTGAGTGCACATACAGCACATACACATGAGCAAACAAGCATGCAACACAAACGCACATCACACACAGACAAATGGAGATGAAGTGTACCACTGCTTTTAGAAATGCCAGCCTTGTTGACAGAGCCACCAAAGCCATCGTCCCTGGCCCTTGCAGACTTGGGCAGAGCACTTGCACCGCTCAGGTTTGCTTGTTCTTTGGCAGTGATTTGCTGGGACTGGTCACCTACCTGGACTGGGTCATGATCACTGTAACCATCTGCTCTTGCATCTCCATGATGTTTGAGTCCCCCTTCCGGAGAGTCATGCACGCACCGACCTTACAGGTACTGTGGAGAAATCTCAGCGCCCAGCTCAGCAGTGACTACTGCCCTGTTTTTGCTGTTTTGTCACAAAGTGCTATTTGCCCATTTCAGATCGCTGAGTATGTGTTTGTGATATTCATGAGCATTGAGCTTAATCTGAAGATTATGGCAGATGGCTTGTTTTTCACTCCAACTGCTGTCATCAGGGACTTTGGTGGCGTCATGGACATATTTATCTATCTTGTAAGTTTTTTTTTCCTGAATATAAAAATGTGGTGTATTTTTTTATATCCCCTGGTGCAAGAGATGAAATATCTGAGGTCTAGTTGTCATAATTAATGTTTTTGGTAAATTATAGTGATCTATTATATGTAATTAAAGGGTATGCACACAAAATCTAAACAAAAAATTTACATAAGTATTATAATAGCCACAGACATAGTTAAATTTAACAGTCACAATAAGATTGCATTAATAAAGAATAAAGCATCAAATTAGTTTGCATCCCATAATTCTTATGGTCTTATAATGCAAAAATATTTGTGTCAAGTAAATACTGTTATTAATTATTGAACCCCTTGTTATCAAATTATTCCCAATCCTGGCTATCACTGGTATCCATTCAAGAGTTCTGTTCAATTAAATTGGGAAATTACAGGAATGGAGTCAGAAACTTCATAAATGCAATGCAGAAAAAAGTTGCAAGTTGCATGTTGATAATCACCAATAAAGTAGTCGTATCCTTGATCAAAAGAACCCTGGTCATGGTGTATGAGTGGGACAAAGTTCAAAGTAATATAAATCTCAAGGTGGATTGGGGGTACAAAGACGCAGAGTGGGTGTCTGCTGCCCTGTGCACCCGAGGCCTTTCTTTGGAGCCCTTTGCAGGCACAGGATGTCCTCACTGTTTAATGTTAGCAGGTGGCATGTGCACCTTCGAGGATCTGTCCCCCATGTAACTCTGCTGAATGGAAGGTCACAACCTGTGAGCAATCAGGAAGTGTGCACAGCAGAAGAGACAGTATAAATTCCAGAGATTCTTTTTACCTCTAGGTGAGCTTGATATTTCTTTGTTGGATGCCTCAAAATGTGCCTGCTGAGTCGGGAGCTCAGCTCCTGATGGTTCTTCGGTGCCTAAGACCTCTGCGGATATTCAAACTGGTGCCCCAAATGAGAAAAGTTGTTCGAGAACTTTTCAGTGGCTTCAAGGAAATTTTTTTGGTATGTGAAGCTGTCATCTGCTTCTTGTTCACAACAATATGTTCCTGTGGTGTCACTGACATGGGGAGGTGCGGATAAAGTGAGGCCTGCAAGCGAGTCTTCACAGTTCTGTTCATTGCCAGAGGGTTAGAAAGGAGACACGAAAACTCACTCAGAAACTTCACCCACTGATGCTCTGACTTCCTTTATTCTAAAAACACCTGTAAGTACAATGTATCAAACCTAGAAAGCCAGAATACACTCTTTATTCTACATGACCTCAATTTCTACTATGGGATTTGCTTTCCCTATCTAAACATTAATGATAAGAATGAATGAGATTGAGAAAGAGTGCATTTGAGTTCTGTGCCTCCTGTTGAACATGGAAAATAAAATTTGCCCATCCATCTCATAACTGTTAACAAAGAAACATAATACTAACAAATGTGATTCAAGGGGAAGCACAATCTGCTGATGGGCAAGCATCACATTAGTGTTTTCTAAGAACAGGGCTGCTGATCAAGCAAGAAGAGATCCCTTGCTCCTAGTCTGGTTGAAAAAGATCTTTGCCTTCTACAAGAGTGATGACACAATGCTTTTGATTATGGATGAGCCCGGCTTGTGTGTGAGGAGTGACTGACAGAAATTTATTTGCTAGAAACAGTAGTGTTAGCTCAGCTGCAGCTTTAGTTGGTCCAAAAGCATTTGGTGAGTATATTGTGATGTCACCAGAGATGCATGGTTGTTCGTGCTCTTAAAGATGTGTTTAAAAGGCCCCGTTCTTGGCGCAGAGCTGTAACACTGATAGGCCTTGAAATGGAATCTCTGCGTTCAGGGCTCTGCTGAGGAGGCCTCTGAACAGCGTTAGATTGCTTAAGACATCTGCTGAGATTATCTGTCCAGTGTAGTTCTGTGGTTGCTGCAGATATAACCTTTTATCTTTCCTCTGCTGAGACAAAGACAGTAGCCAGCAGAGGGAGCCCAAGACAATTAATAGATTGAATCATGCTGTACAAGGTAGCCCATGATGCTCACAAGAAAGCAAAGCCACTATCTCTAATTTAGGTTCAGTTAGGAAAGAAGTAATTCTGTTTCGGGAAAATGAAGTACAACTGAATGATTTTAACATCTCCCTTGTTATTTTTTTTTAAATAAAAAATAATACTATTTTTTAATCATATAAAAATGGCTTATTTCATTCTCATGAGAGCCAGAATTTCATTTAAAAATTTTCTCCTTTTGAAATTTCAGGAAGACAAATGAATGACCCATGGTAGAGAAGTTAGAAGATATCACTGAAAAGAAAAAAATAAAAACTAATCAAACAAACATACACACACAAAAACAAAAACCCATTATTTTATACAATACGATTTAAATACAAAATATTAAACCTAATACTTAGTGTTCACCAAGAGATTTACTTATTCACTAATTTCTTTCAGGTCTCCATTCTGCTGCTGACGTTAATGCTTGTTTTTGCAAGCTTTGGAGTTCAGCTCTTTGCTGGAAAACTAGCCAAGTGCAATGATCCCAATATTATCAGAAGGGTAAGATCTTCCCAACTGTTTTGAATTCTAACCAAGGTAGTTTTCCCTTTCCTTGGAATGCACTGACCAGTGGCTGCCTGGAACCCTCTTAAAAATTTTAAGAACTCTCTTCCCACAAGTTGCTTTTTGTGGCAGCCATGCAGTCTATCTCTTTCTGGTAGAAGGTCTGTGAGATCCTAAACACATTTCAGAGGCTCCTCCTCCTTCCTGTCCCAGCATCAATTACAGCTCCTCTTCTGACAATGGGTGTGTGTACCCAGAATTTAAGGATGAGAACTGAGATCTTCAGAAACTCCTCCTTCTCTCTGGTCATGTAAGATTCACCAGAAAATGACACTCAGCCCATCCAAGACACCTCCAACTCTGAGATACCCACATCCCTTTTATTCCTTTTCCACTCTTGGCATCCTCTCCATGAGACAATCAGTGCATGCAAGTTCACTTCTACTACCTAGTGGTGTCCCCTTTATGACAACCTACAAGGTCTCCAACAAAGATCTGACTTTTCATAACATCAATAGGTCATTGTTTTCTCTTTCTTCAGTCAGTGCCAATAGGCAGAAAGTAGCTGTAACAGCCTCCTAGCCTGGTATCATTACATAATAACATGTAGGTATTGCATTGTGGATAATCTACACAGCTCTTCTCTAGAAGACCAAAGTAGTTCTTGAGTTCCTTCTATCCTGTGGATCTGCCCTTCACTAGGTCTTCACTTAGATGGCAGATAAGAGCAGGCTGCCATTTCTTTCATAAAGGACTTTGGTCCCCTATCACTTCATCCCATATACCAAGGAAAGAGCATGCCTTGCCATGCATGAAGGAAGGCAGGGAAATGTGGTCTCTTGTGTTCTAATAGAAAATAAAGGGACACTCGCTCCCTTTAGGGAGCTATATAAACATCCCTATATAACGGGATGTTAGCTCACCTCTTCTGTCTTCCCATGTCCCTTTCTCTTGAGGTTCTTTTTAATTTTACAGATATATCAATAAAGCAAGCCAAAACCGAGAGTGTGCAAACTAGCAAAATTATTTTCTCTCGCATCCAAATAAAATGATGTTTTCTTTCCATTAGGCCCAATAGGACTAACCTTTGGCATTATACGTTTTTAGCAAATTTGGTGATATGGCTTTTATGTGATAAAAACTTTAAGTTTTCTAAGTATTATCAAGCATGAGAGGAGCCTTTCCAGGCAAAATGTGTTACAAAGTATGCTGACATATGAAGACTTCAGCTGTTGAGAGGGAGAGAGACAGTCCAGAACCTTCCATGAACCTGGGAGGACATTACAAGGACCATGGTATGAAGGTCATGATGTACCATATCATCAAACGAAAAAATTAATAAAGAGCTGATGCGTTTGTCCACAGACTTGTGTAAGGATCAAGAGTTATTTTAGACTCACACTGAACAGAAGCCAGAAAGATAATAACAACATTTCAAGTTGAAGCTTTGTAGGAATCCTGGGTGAATCACTGTCCTAATGGTGGCCTCAGAGGGTCACTGTGTTCTTCTCTGTAGTCATACCCAGCCTGGCTGAGGAGGGGGAGGGGGAGCGTGGGGAGCAATCTGTAGGTGAGCAAACACAGAGAAGATGCCTTTGTCCTCTTGGTGGGAGCAGCAAGGTCTGTGGTCAAGCTCAAGGATACAGCCATTGTCCAGGGCAGCAGCATCTGGAAGGAGGAGTGGAGCTGACATCTTGAGAAGTGCTCTCTTCTTACATCTTCACGGATTCTAAAGTGAGCGACCAAATCCAAGAACATTGTGTGGGCAAAGGGAACATCACTTCTGTCTTGGAATTTCAGTCTATCTTTTTAAAAACTTTACTCAGTTTTTCTTTTTACATTTCATTTTGTTATTGCTAGTGTGTGTGTGTGTGTGAGAGAGAGAGAGAGAGAGAGAGAGAGGGGAAGAAAGAGAGAGATGGTGGTACACATATGCCATGGCTTGGCATGGAGGTCAGAGGACAGCTCTTGAGAGTCAGTTCTTTCCTCACACAGTGAAGACCAGTGACAGAACTCGGGTTTTCAGCCAAGTGTATTTCTATCCTGGGCCATCTTACCAGCCCATCTTTCTAAAGGGCAAAGGGAAACTGGATATACCAATATTTGGACTGTATATCTCATTTAAAGGGGGTTAAAGGGAATGAAGCATGGGTTGTTCAGGCTTTGGCTCCTAACTGGAGAGCATGTTATTTTCTCATATATATGTAAACACGTCCTCCTCTGCTCCTGCTCTGGGAATGACAGCAGATGTCTTCAGATCAGTACAGAAGGAGGTAGAACCTAGAGTTTAGTCACCCAAGATTTGTAGACAAAATCTGAGGAAAGCTTTGGACAAGGAGTTTCTAAATCTTGGCTATATCTAAGTCCTTGTGACAGGTAAAATAAAACAGGACTGGAAAGCCAAGTGTGATTTTATAGCACTTTCTGTCTGATCAGAATGTGTACCATGTTCAAGTGGCCATAATATAAAGCCAGTAGTTACAGAGCAAGTGAGCAGTGGAAGTCACGTGCCATTATTTTTCAGTGAGGGAAACTGTGCTTCCAACTGGGAGCAAACACACCAGAAGGTTTGGGAGGTGGGGAAGATTGAAGCCAAGAGGAGAAGTGGAATGAGGAAAGACGCCAAGCCTGCCCAGAGGTCACTGAACAGAGGCAATCAAGCAGGAGCGTGAGGCTTAGGGCCGTCACATAACATTCCCACTGCAGCCGTAATGGGTAGGTCTGCCCAGTCTTTCCTTCACAGTCTGTTTCCTTGTGTTGAACACTTTTCACACGCAGAATCTAAAGGAAGACTAAACCAGCTTCCCTATGCCAAATGCCCACACTAATCTCAGTAGTAAATCTCATTTCCTTTCCGTGTTAATGAAACTAAAACCTAAGGCCAGAAATTTAAGTTAGAAATTCACGGGTGCAGATTGACAGACAGCAATGATGGACAGGAAAAGTCTGCTTGAAAGGTTTGGAAGAGGAAGCAGGCACCCCTCAGTCCTCACGGCGTACGCAGTGCTGTTTCTAGGACTGTTTTTGTTACCTATGTGGTATGGATGAAGAAAGCAAGTACAAATTAAATGATTTGTGGAAGATGCAGCACACACACACTCCCATGTGCACATGGGCCATGCGCACACACACACACACACACACACACACACACGCTCACTAACCCTCACATCTAGTCACGCTAGAAAAGGAGCTCAAAGACCAAAGTAATGACTGCACCAGTGCCTGACTTGGAGAAGCAGTGAGTCTGGGGCACCCACAGGAGTGTGGGTGAGGGGTTACTCACAAGGAGCAGGATGACACAGAGGCAACCACAGCACCACAAAGCCCACCTCAACAAAAATGCAGGGAAATTACAACCCTGGAGCTCTCTCTCTCTGTGCAGCTTGCAGGCAGCTCAACAGTCTGAGAAATCTCTCATCGTTAACCCCGACATAGTTTACTCATTCTGTACTGCAGGGGATGGCCTTTCATTCGTCTCCTGAGTCTCATGGGACACCTCCTTCTCAAGGGAACGGTCAGTTTGGAGGAAACTGCCATGTAACGGGTCACCCATGTAATATGTAGGAACACTGTGGTTCACTAGAGGCATCCTGGCCCCACATGCTGTGCTTTTAGCTATGCTACCAAGGTGTCCTGTGTGATGAAAGATGGACTCAGAAAGACAAAACTAGAAGGGGCAGTGAGGCCAAATGCATTGTGGGGCCTCTATATAATATTCTACAATACAGCCCTTAAAAATAATGATGTAGATGAATAGATACGATTATGAAAAGATCACTTCAGTATATTTTTAGCTGAAAAGAATGAAAAGATAAAAACTATGACCCATGTATGCATAGGAAAAAGACTAGAATATACAGCAGAAACTCAGCTGTCTGTGTCTCTTGGAAATTCAGGTAAAATTTTCTTCCTATTATTTTTCATACTTTTGTCGTTGGGTCAAAAGTAGTTCTCTTTATTTTAAAGAATTTCACTGACAGTCTAGAAAAAAAGTGATGTTATTAACTAACTGAGATAAAAATAGAGATGTAGGAAATGGCTTGGTGAAGCGCTTGCGGTGTACAATGAGGGCCTGTGTTCAAACCCTCTCACTTACACGCTAGACACAGAAAACCTGCACTGATAATCCCAGTGCAGGGGAGGCAGAACTAAGAGGATGCCTAGAGCCTCGGGCTTAGCAGAGTTCTTTGTTCTATGAGAGTTTATATCTCAAAACTTAAAAATAAGGGTTGAAGACAACACCAGATGTCACTCTACGGTCTTTACACGTAGAGACAGCATACAGACAATGGAGAATGGTCCTCAAGGAAGAAGGGAAACTGAGACAATTCCAAAGTTGTGCTGTGGAGGGGAATGTCATACTCACCCGTGGACAGAAATGGAGAGCCATGAAGAGATGTGTTTTAGAGTTGAATGATGATGAAAAATTTTACCAAACTCAGGTTTGGTCTCAAAATATAACCCTAGCATAAAACAGCCAAGGGAAAAGAGTCAGAAAATGAAGCAGAACTTCTTAAACCCTCTTAGCCACTTCTTTATTGAGTCGTGATCAAATGCTCCATACTGAACCTCCTGGAGTGTGCCTTTGAATGGTTCTCGACATGTTGATCGCTCTACAAGCAGAGAGTGCGGTCACTTACAGCACTACAGAGAAACTTCCTGTCCATCCGACTGGCCCAGCCCTTTACCCTGACTGCACATGCAGTCTGGATGAGCACTATTTCCGCAGTAGTTTCCTGCTCCGGGCCTTCATGTGAAAGGGAGCGAATAACGCACTGGCTGTCCTTTTTGATCTAGCATGTCTGTGTTTACACTGGCCGTGCACATTCGCCGCTTACAGGCACTCCATCACCTTCTGCGGCCGGTCTGCTGTAGGAATGAGCACACTGCAATTCATTCTGTGTGTCCAGCCATGAGCATTTGTGGTTCCGCCTTCTGAACATTAGGAACATTACCAGTGCAGACATTATGTAAGATTTTTTTCCTTTTTATAGACATGCTTCCTGGATCATATGGTGTAATAGTCTGTTTCCTGTGACCATAGCAAAATACCTGATGGTGGACCCTTTTTTTTTTTTTAAGAGAAAGGGTTTACTTCATGAACACAGATGGAAATTAAGAGTCTATAGTTGGGCAGGTCCTCCTGTTTAGCCATTGGTGAGGGCCCTCTTGACTAATTACATAATGGCAGCTGACATAGTGAGAGTGTATTGAGAGAGACATTAGAGCAGAGAGACAGCAAGCCAGAGACTGGGAAAGCACCAGCCTTGCTCATTTACAACATTGCACTGTTTCTGTTGTGAGACTTAGGTGTCAGGAGTTAACACATGGGTCTGTGAGAACAGCCCCCGGGCCTGTCCACCCTTCGCTGGGTGGACCCTTCGCTGTCCTGCACCCAAGGCTGCAGGACCCTGTCCTCTGGCGGCATATCTGGGTCGTGGCTGCACACAGTGCCCACGGCTCACACCGTGCTGTATGGCGGATCCGGGCGTGGCAGTCCTTTTTCTCCACAGCCTTACTGGCACTTGTTTTTCTGACTTCACACTGCAGGCTTCCGAGTGGGTATGAAAGAATACCTCACGGTGACTCTGAGCTGCATTTCCCTGGTGGCTTATGTTAGTGAGCATCTTTATTAGACACTGTGTGACTTCTTTGGGGAAACTTGCATTTAGACACTTTGTCGGCATCAGCTTTCACCTCCAAGACTCCATTAAGATACATGCTTAAGAAATGAATCCTCCTGTACAGGTGTAGCCCATGGCAGTTCAGTGTCCGAGTGGGTCCCATTGTAATAGGAACAGGGACTGTCTCTGACATGAACTGATTGGCCTGCTCTTTAATTACCTCCCCCTGAGAGGGAAGCTGCATTACCAGGCCACAGAGGAAGACAATGCAGCCACTCCTGATGAGACCTAACAGACTAGCATCAGAAAGAAGAAAAAGAAACCCTCCCCTACCAGTGGACTTGGAGAGAGGCATGCGTGGAGAAAAGGGAGGAAGGGAGGGGTTGGGAGGGAAGGAGGGAGGGAGCTAGAGGGGGATACAAAGTAAATAAAGTGTAATTAAAAATAAAATAAAATTAAAATAAAAAAAAAAGAAATGAATCCTCTGCCCCCAGTCCTGAGACTTGATGTGACAGGGCGGGTCCTTTTCTGAGGAGTAGAGGAGTGGTGATAAGGGGAACAAGAAGAGAGGGTGGGACTGGGAGGAAAGGACGAAGGGGGCTATGATCGGGATGCTAATTAACTAATTAAATTATTGATTAATTAATTAAAAATATACGAATCCTATATTTTTTTTTCTGAGGTTCACTTTCTGACCAGGTTTCCTCTTTTCTTTCTTTTTCCTACTTTAGGAAGACTGTAATGGCATCTTCAGAATTAATGTAAGTGTGTCCAAGAACTTAAATTTAAAACTAAGACCCGGAGAGAAAAAGCCTGGATTTTGGGTGCCCCGTGTTTGGTAAGCTCATCAAAAATAACACCCTAAGGAATGCTACACTTCTTCACATTGGGGGTTAAAACAGCATAATTTGCTATGAGACTAAGATAATTTTGTTTATAATATTAAATTAACTTAAATAATATAGGAAAAAGCATTGGGTTACAGCATTTTTTTAAAGACCAGTAAGAACCAAACGGCACACAGAATCCCATGTTCTTTGTAAAACTAATGAAATAATACTTTTTTGCATGTAGCAAATTAATTTATTTTTTCTTATTTATTTTATTTACTTTGCATCTTGGTTGTAGCTGCATCCCTCCTCACCTTCCAGTTAACCCCTTCCTATCTCCTTTTTCCTTGAAAAAAGGGAGCCTCCTCCCCACGAAGCCTAAGCTGCCCATCTGCTACAGCTTTATAGGGAGCCTCGGGCTAGTCCATGCATGGTCCTTGGTTGATGCTTTAGTCTCAGCAAGCCCCTATGCTCCCTGGTTAGTTGGAATGCCAACCCACCCAGAAAAACTTGCAACCTGCGAGGTGAGCAGCAAAGAAGTTTTCATAGCTCAGTTGACAAGGTGAGCAGGGTTAGAGCAGATAGAGCAGAGATTAAGGGAATGTCTAGCCAATGTCTGGCCCAACCAAAGCCCAGCCCTATTGGAGACTACCAACCTCTGACACTTTTAACCATACCCTGCTAAAAGGAGCCTGTCAGAGTTGTCTTCTGAGAGTCTTTACGCAGCAGCCTCAAAACAGATGCTGAGACTCACAGTCAAACAATATGTGATACATAAGGAGTCTTGAGGAAAAGTGGGAGGAAAGAAAAAAGGGCCTGGAGGTGACAGGAGCTCCACAGGACCAACAGAGCCAGATAATGTTGTTTTTTTTTTTAATGAATTAAAGTACATATCTGGATTGAAATGGCTTTAAAAATTAAGGCGGTTTTAAAAACAAAGGTCTCCAATTGCATTGAACTCATTCTAAGCTTTAAGGAGGGCTGATGTCCTGGTAACAGTTGCTGAGAAGTCTAAATTACAAAACTACTTTCATTACAAAACCCATGCATGCTGAAAGATCTCCATTTTGGAAAAATTAGAGAGGAATACTCGGTAGCATACTTGATTAGATCCAATTATTTCTTTAAAATCTATTTTTCTGGGTTTTCAGAGTATTTCCAACCCAACGTGAGACCTGCTCTAAGCCTTCCTTCTTATCTGATTTATTAACAATCATGAGTAGAATTTTTTCTGTTTCATTGATAAGCTCAGTGTTTTATCAACTTTATCTGATATTTTAATTACCTTTTAAATTTTCTTTTCACCTCTTAGGGTAATGAATAAGTCACAGAAACCCTGTTTTTGTCACAACAGACTTTCTTTTATATTCATCAACATGTTTTCAGAGGAATAACATTTTACCCAGCTATAGCCCTGACTCATTTTTATCTTGCTTTGGCACTCCTCTAATATAAAATTCACTTTTATGAGCAATTCAATATGATTGCTATTGGTGTTTTTTTTTTTTTTTTTTTAATCCAACAACTGTGGAAAACAATTTAGGATGCAAGGCCTGATCTTGGAGAAGGGTTTAACTCATGGGGAAAGCCTTATCCCAATACTCACTTAGAAAAGTCGTCTAATTTACATCAGAATAAAAAATTGAAGAGGCATAAAAGGTTTATTTTGGTGAGAAGAAAATTCATTATACCATAAATAACTTATTTATATCAGGACATCAAATGGGATTTCCCGCCCTGCTGTTCTGGGATTTGGGCTAAAGCCTCAAAGCTGATCTTAATTCTACAGACAGCAACTCCCCAGAACTTATTCAGACCTTATCACCCTCCATCACAATGCTCACACAAGCATAACATCCTGAGAATAAATGGGTCGGGGGAGAGTGCGATGGTGTCCCCACTTCTCACTGTAGAGGAAGGCCAAGGTGCTCCCACCATGTTAAATGAGGCCCCAGAGAAGACCCAGGAGCTTGACAAAGCAGTGATGAGCTTCAGGGCAATGCCGCCTCTCCACAGCTGGCAGGGCAGACTGTCTCATCTCCCTGAAGGAGGATGTGGCCTCTGCTTAGAGCCATCAAGGACGGAACCCTGTTACAAAGGGCTAGGCACTGGGGGGAGAACGGCTCCATTGAAGGAAGCCCTGGTGTATTTCTAGGTGCAGGAGCTGAGACTCACAGCAGAAATGGTGCAATTGAGCATTCTTGTTTCAACATGCGGGGGACTAATAGGACATCTGAAATAAAAAGCCCATTTGGTTAGCTGATGCCGACCATTGAAAAGCCCGCTTGTTGCCAGCAGTCTGAAAAGGAGAGTGCGCCACATCACGTGGGCATACACACAGGGAAACTCCACGGTTAGTCGCAGATAGATGGAGAAGAACATCGTGGGGAAAGCTCTGTGGTGGCTTCCCTCGTCCCTCGGAAGGGGAAAGGGAGGTGGGAAGATGGGGCAAACTAATGATGATCCCCCAGTCTCTGGTCTTGGGGGGACAATAATGAAGGTGGCTGGGATATGAAGTCTAGGCTGAAAGCTTTGTGTACGAAAACTGCATCCCCATGAGAAAGGTTCCAACCTTACGACAAAGTGATCAAAAAGCTTTGCAGCCTCTCAGGATGTCAGGATGAAAGGCAGAGCTCACCAGAGGGCAGCATGCAGAGACAAGCGAAACTGTCCGGTTTGTCTTTGTACCATTCAACTTTTCCGTAAAACCTACCATCTGTGACTTAAAAATCAGCTTTAGCTGAAATGTAACACTGCGTCATTACTGGGAATATGGGGTCAAATTCAACAACATTTTAAACCCCAAGTAAACACAAGGGCATCACATAAGGATTGTGCACAGGTCTTTGTCTGTTTGCCCTGTCTTGTAGCTTGGTTTCATTGTAAAACAAAACTCTTTAGTCTAGTAAATGCCAATAGTACTTAGGACGCTTTTTAAATTTTCCTTCTTTAATCTGATTTAAAAGCTGAAAATTTTAATTTCATACTATCTAAATTATAACTAAGAAAATAGCATATCCGGGAGTATGCCTAGTGGAATGCTTTGGTAATTAAAATTAAGACATAAGCATGCATTAATTTGGGAGAAAGACTAATGCCATAGTTTCCAGATAAGTATGTTCCTTTTCTTCTGAATCACCCAGACTTGATGAAATTAAAAATTACCTCAGCAAAAAGGATTAAGTATTCACTCTATCATGAATATCATGTGCTTTATTTTAAGCATAGGTTCGGAATATAGGAAGTAGCATGGATAGGTGAAAAAAGGTATTCTGCTTTTTATTGATGGTACTTCCTCAGTGCTCACAGTCACTAAGAATGCTCGCCGCTACTCAGCTGTAAGTTGTGGCTCTTGTCCCTTAAAAAACCTGACGTGGAAAATAGAAAACAAATTACAAATGATTTCTAAGCATGCTAAAGGTTTTGGTATGAATCAACAAGCTTCTAGGCTCTCCTCTGGCTTGCCAAAAGCTCACTCTTCAGGCAACTTTAAGCTGTGTTAAATACTTCTATACAGGACATCAGGTCTTATGGGGTCTCAGTATCAACTATTTTAAGATACAAGAGTTGAGAGGGGATCAGCACAAACATCCATTGAGGTTTTTTTCCTGCAATATTCAATTTTGTTTTCTACAAATGGTAGAAATGCAATGAATGGCACACAAAAGAAGCCCCTAAACCAAAATGCCTGGTGCCAGAGCAAAGTCTAAGAGAGAACACATTGGCTTTCTAAATGTGCGATGGGAAATGTGCGAGGAAAGGGAAGGGAGAAGGGGCAGGTGGGTAAGGAAAAGAGAATGGAAAGAAGAAGAAGGGTAGAAAAGAGGGAGGGCCAATGGACAGGTGGGTAGGAAGTAAGAAGGGCCCAGAGGCAGGTGAGCAAGGAATAGAAAGGGGTCAGGAATAGATGGGTAGCGAGGGGGAAGAGATGCCAGGGGCATGTGGGAGGAGAAGGAGGAAAGGCCAGGGACAGGTGGGTAGGAAAGAAGAAGAGACCAGAGGAGGCAGGTAGATGGGCAGGGGCCAGGAGCAGCCTAAGTAGCCTTTTCCATAGTGACCACCTTCCCTAGAGAGGATCCATTAGTTTTACCATGATCTCAGAGGCTCTGGATCATGTTCTTTAGGAGAACTAAAGACTGACCAAATTCTGAGGTCAGAACCAGTCTAAGTTTTATGACTTAGACTGCAAACTTTAAAAATAATAACCAGAAAAAATGTTTTAAACAGCCTTCTGATTCAAACAAGGGCAGCATGTGAATTGACAATGATGGGTTATGTTTCGGACTTACTGAAACCCTCTGGAGTTATAGATCAAATTTCAAACTTGGCAATTTTGATAGCACAGCATAAACAAATACTTCATATGATTAAACTGAATAAGTCTTAGTTTTCAAAATGTGATATACTCTTTCAACTGCATGCCTTACTTTTCTTGATTTAGCCTAAAAATATTTTCTTAGCATTTTCTAACTTCTAAAATATGTGGAACATGAAAATAGTTTAAGTTGCTGCAAACTTAGCTGAAAAAGCACTTTTACATAAAGAAAACAGATGAGTAAGAAAGATTGACATTAGATCTGAGCTCTGGCTCCCTTGATTTTATTGTTTTAAGTCCTTATGCAAGCAAACTTTGGGTATGAATAGTCCTTACAACCACTGTCTGCTCTAAGAGATAGGAAATGCAATTGAAACCCTGCCCAAGGAAAGATTATTGAAAAAAAATCAAGATAGTATATTTGTACTTTCATAGAAAAATATAAATCAGAATTCTAAAATATTAATTTCTGAGTGGAGCTTCTACATTGATGCCAAATGCCCATGCCAATCAGTCTCAAGCCCCAGGACCAAGTCAGCTGCCAGTCCTAGGCTTTCTCACTGTATTCCCATGTATTATAAAGACATATCTCATGATTATTACTATAGTTAAGAAAGCATAAAAGATAGATGACTAATATTAAAACAAATGCCTCTCTAGAGTGCTGACTTCATGAAGGCTAAATTTTGATAGATGAGTTAGCATAGAAAAAAAAAACGGTGAAAACAACACAGAAGGAGGCAGTCGGCTGACTGTATTCATCTCAGAGCTATATTCTCCATACTCTCTATATTCTCAACCTCAGAAGGTGTAGCAATAATCATTTGCAACTTTTAATTATTTAGAATAGCCTCTAATTCTTGTTCTCCATCTGGGATGTGGCTGTCAGCTTCTGGACGAAGAATGGATCCAGGTTCCATTTCTCTCAGGAATGGCTGGAGCACTTTAGGGCAAGGCCTGTGTACTAGGCCAGAGCATGGAAAGAGTTTTCCACTGAATGTTAAAATTTAGCTCTTTTAAATAAGGTTATGGGTATCAGAGGCAGTGGAAATGAGAGTTCCAAAAGCCAGTGATGATAGCAAAGTGTTACAGCCCCTTGGTTAAGCTGCCATGGCAGAGGGTGCAGGAATAACCCCATGCCTGTTCAGCTCGGCGGTGAGGAGCAGGTCCATAGCTGCCGAGGTGGTCCACATGCACGTGAAAGGTCGAAAGGCAGTCAAGCCTGGGTGGTCCGGAAGCTCGTGGCAGTTGAGGAGGCTCCATCCTGCCTTGCTGGCAGCAGGCCCTAGGAGTTCATGGGTGAATCTCCAAGAAGGAGGGGAGCCCTCCCTTCTTCAGAATAAATGACGTGTCTTAGGCAGCTGGTGGTATCCATACAGCATGCATCACCCACATTTATTTCATGCGAAATCAGGGACTTATAAACCTTGGAGTGAAAGTGTTTGCTTTGCTGGGGCTAGAAATTCTAAGGATGCTTGACTTACAGGCAGTGGTAAGGTACCTCATTTACATGCAGTGACATGGTCCTATTACAGGAAGGAGAACATAGTACTTAATTATCCTGTGGGTACAGGAAAATCTCCAAGTACAATTGAAGGTCATTGCTGAAAACTAAGCTCTCCTTAGCATAGGTGTGGTATTTCCAGGAATTCCCAGATGCTTGCTGAACTGAGCAGGTTTTTTTGTTTTGTTTTGTTTTGTTTTTTAATCAGAAAATGGTTCCACCTGTAATTTTTTCTCAGGGCTATATAAGGCTCCTTACAAGATCTGGGGTTACCAGATCAGGTGGAGAAGGAACCCCACTGAGAAAAAGGAGTCCATCATTGTAGACTTAGCACAGAGGCTATCTGGAAATATCAAACTTCAACCTTATCCAGCACAGTTCCACATCTCATTAAAAAAATGAATGAAAGCACTGAAAATATAATCTATTAACAATGAAAGCATGTTAGCTAAGACCCACAAGGTAATAAAAAGAAATCCTTTCACAATTAAGAAACAATAAATAAATAAATAAATAATAAATAAATAAATAAATAGATAAATAAGAAAACAAAGAATTGGGCATCTCTTCCACACAAAGAAAATAAAGAAGGATGGGGTCAAGTGTTTCAGGTATCAGGAATCAGTGACAGATGTGGACAGAAGAATGTGCAATGGCATTGTGAGAAGAAGCGACTGAGAACACTCAGGGCTAGTGAAAAGGAAAGACCCAAGAGAGTGATGGAAATGCACTGCCCTGAGTGCCTCAGGTGCTTCTGCCTCAGGAGCCTCTCAGTGTGTCACCACCCACAAGGACAGTTAACACAAGTCAGTAAGCACTGCTCTCATCTCACTTACTGCTGAAGGATTACAACTATTTCAAAACACAGAACACGGTGCCCCATCATACAAATCTCTGTTATTTAGCTTCCAGTTGGGCTGTTGTGGGACAAAGCAAAGAGTTATGTCATCATTAGGGCTAGATATACTTTTGAGCCTTTAGCTTCAATTGGAAAACACTCATTATGACATAAAGGACATAATAACAAACTACAGCATACTAACACACTGCTATAACTTAGCAAAGGAATGCTGCATGGCCCAACCATCTCCCAGGCTAAAGACTACACCTTGAATTAGAAAATGTTATAGTTCTGGGCAGTGCTGACACATGCCTTTAATTCTAACACTTGGGAGGCAGAGGCAGGCAGATCTTTATGAGTTTGTAGTCAGCCTGGTCTACAGAACGAGTTCTAAGATAGCCGGGACTACAAAGAGAAACCCTGTCTCAAAAGAAAGGAAAGAAAAGAAGGAAAGAAGGAAGGAGGGAGGGAGGGAGGGAGGGAAAGAAGGAAGGAAGGAAGGAAGGAAGGAAGGAAGGAAGGAAGGAAGGAAGGCTATAGGAATTGGCCTGCTGGGTGCAATGGAGCCTCATCCAACATCCCTCTTCCCTAATTACAGGGCGAATCCTCGGAACTTTAACTTTGACAATGTGGGAAATGCCATGCTGGCATTGTTTGAAGTTCTGTCCTTGAAAGGCTGGGTAGAAGTGAGGGATGTCATTATTCATCGTGTGGGGCCGGTAAGCAAGCACACAGAATTTTCAAAATATGTCTGAGGTGCTTCCCATCGGCTCTGATAAATCATTCTTTCGTTTCTGCAGATCCACGGAATCTATATTCATGTTTTCGTATTCCTGGGTTGCATGATTGGACTGACGCTTTTTGTTGGTGTGGTCATTGCTAACTTCAATGAAAACAAGGTAAGTCTTCTCAGATTAGCAGCACATTATTTTGCTCTTGCCCTTGCTTTAAGCTACATTTTTTCACACACGGCAGGGAGCCACATTAAATTGTAACGTGACTTGTGTAACTAACCCGTATAACTCTTTTGCAAGCTGCTTCACTGCTGTGATTTGGGTCCATTACTTAGGAGTATAATTCTCTTGCTAGATTTACCCTTATGGTAAAAGTAATTCACCCACCCACAGCTGAGAAACACATTTCCTATTGTTCACATGGGAAGGATGTACAGTGAGTTATTAAAATACGGTAGCTTGACTGCCTTTACAAAAATGTGAATTGTGTGCTTCAGAATTTTAATAAGGTAGGTAGAAGCCATATAAAATGTAAGGCCAGTTCATAGACTAGAGATTTTTCTAAATCCATATAAACTTTACATATTTCCTGAGCTCAGGAAGCACCGTCAGCCCAACCAGCTCTCGTGATTGACACAAAGCTTATGGGAGACACACAGCAATATGGTTTCCTGTGGAGCACAAGTTCAAGGAAGAACATTCCATTAGTGTCCCTTGGCTATTGCTGCTCTGAGCGAGGGTGGTTAAACTGTCTCTCAGGGGAGGTTCTGCTTGGAGGAATCACACTGAAATGTATACAAGCTTTGAGCACACAGTATACAGAAGACACTTCTGCTGGCTCACAACCTGCACCACGTGGACAGGAAAGCCATCAATACAAGGAGGAGACACTTGGGGCCAAATTCAGACTCCCTTCCTATTGCTGCAGGGTCTGTGATTCTTTGAATGCAGGAGCATAAAAACCTCTAACTGCAAAGCTCCATTTGCAGTGAAGCACCTGCTGTTCCGTTGTGCACAGTGATGACTGATTCCCACGTGCTCATCCCAGAGCTCTTTGGTTTGTGTGGCTGCATGTGAGACTATATCATTCACTGTCCCCAGGCTCAACGTGTGTGGTGCCACTGACTCAGTCGATTGCCACCTTTGAAGTGTGCCTAATGAGCATTTCACTTCATTCAGATTTTCAAAGACTGCGATTTAAAAACCCCCCTTTAGAGCCAATACTACTCCAACCCTCAGAAACATGGACTCCCAGAGCTGCACAAGCGTGTCACCCAGCCCCTCTATTTTACTTTCTAATGCGTCGGTAAACGAGATGCTCTAACCCTCCAGTGTGTTCAGCTCCATATCAGGGAAAAGGAGAAAGATGTGTCTTCTTAGATGCCTTTGAGCCATGTGGTGGAGCAGACACTGGGAATTCCAGGATATAGGAAGATGTTAATCAGCACATTTACTAGAGGGATGAGGCACTGCCAGTCCAGGACGCTTAGCGGTCCCTGGAAGGGCCCCTGCACGCGGGAGGACTGAGCTCCAGGCAGCTCTCGAGTCAGCAGCGTGAGCGGCCCAGCATCCAGTGCTCAGTAACAGGAAGCAACTGCATAATTGACTGTCAGCCTTGAAACAGCCGTGACTTACTGAGGCGGTTTGCCGCAGCGTGGAGTTCTGTCCTAAGAGCGTCAGGAGGTGCAGCTTGTTTAGGAGGCTGCGGTGTCCGTCCAAACAGACACCAAGAGGAAGGTGGACGTTAGCATCTATTTTGCCAGACTTCACGACTTGACTTGTTGGTTGGAGATAACATATTCTAATTATGTGAAATGTGTGTGTGAGAGAGAGACGTGGCGTGTGCACCCACACATGCACGTGCATACTTATAGCGTCATTTTTAGGGACTTCAACACCTTCTTCTAAATTCCACCAGCACTGCACATACATGACTTATGTAAATGCAACATGCAAGTAAAATAAACAAAATAAAATAATAATCTTTTTTTAAGTGGGCAGTTGAGATGGCTCCGGTGGAGGCATTTCCCAGCATGGTAATCTGAGTTCAGTCCTGAGAACCCACAGGGTGGGAGGAGACAGCAGACTCTCCGTAGTGTTTCTGACCTCGAAATGTGTCCTGTGCATGGGCACACGTGCTCAGGCTCACACACGCACACTCGTGTGCCCACACAAAGAAATACAAAAATAATGTAATAATAAAACTTGTTTTAAAGGGAAGGAGAAACTGCACAAATAAATACACATTGCATACAATTCATGCCAACTTCAAAATTCAAAACAAATTTGTTCTTGGATACCTTCATAGTCAGAAAACCTGCCCTTCTGAAAACCAAGTAGGGGATGTTCCCTGGAAGAACAGGGAGTCAGTATCGTTGCGGAAGGAAGCGGAGAAAGGAAGCACATTCCCCTCAGCCCTAGGTTCTTAGATTGCATGTCTGCCTCCGTAATAGAGTATAACAAATCTAATAACAGTCAGCGAAATTTCTGTGCGTTTTTATCAAGTACCCCGCTTTATAACACAGAATATCTGATCCCATGTAGCAAATTATCATAGCATTCATTTCTATAAGACGAAAGCTCTGTGACTTCTTATCTCCTAAAAGTAGTTTTACAGTTGCACATATTGAAGTGTTAGAAACAACAGATGTGTATAAGCAGATGTCATCAGCCAGCAGCAGCACTGCAGACAAGCTGTGTTGGCTACTACCAAACTAAACGTGCCACAGATGGCATCCTTTCTAGAGAATGTAATACATTTGAAACATTCTTGAAACTCTCTCAAGCCCAAAAGTTACAGGTCTTCAGTGACACACGGCTGGAAGTGGCTGAATTCCCAGGTATGCACCATGGCCGTTGGGAATGCCTCTTGTGGATTGTTCATTCTAACCATGTCTCTCCGACCACTCTGGTTCTTTCAGACTGCCTTTGCTTCAAGTCCCCACGTTGGTCCTGCCTGTAAAGCTATCCCACCCCTCTTGCTCCTGCCTTACCCTCCACTGTTTCCTTTGTTTCCAAGGGGACAGCCCTGCTGACGGTAGATCAGAGAAGATGGGAAGACCTCAAGAGCAGACTGAAGATTGCACAGCCTCTTCATCTCCCACCTCGGCCCGGTATCAAAGATGCTCTGATTTCATTCATGTGGGGCAGTAGCAGTCCTGATTCCCTAAGAGCCTCAGATTTAAATGAAAATAATAATCGTGAGGCCACTAGGGGGTTGTGCATAAGTTAATATAAAAACAGACTCCAAACGGCTGGTCTCTCTGTAAGGCTATTAAAACCAGCCACCCAAAGGCTGTGCTTCAGTGCTCTCCGAATAACCCTTAATGAAAAAACTGAATTTTCAAATAAAATATATTTGTTCTTGCCTTTTAGATATATGAGGGAAATGTACTATGCTGCCAGAAATTGAATGATGTGCTTCTCCTTCTAATACAGATGGTGCTATGTGCTATTGTTTTAATATCCAGCACCAGCCATTCCTGCACAAATAGAGTGAACTGGAGGGGAAGGCTGTAATGGGTTTGAAGATGAACATTAAAGAATATGAAAGACAAAAAAGTAAATGTGGCCCACGTGTAAAGCACCCTCTCCTAACCCTTTCTTTTTCAGATAATGATGGTTTTAGAGCTAAAATGTATGACATAACCCAGCATCCGTTTTTTAAGAGGACAATTGCGCTGCTGGTTCTGGCCCAGTCTGTGTTGCTGTCTGTCAAGGTATTGTTTCACCCTGAGACTGTCTGGATTTACATCCCTGGTGCTCCCAGTGCATTGCAAATGTTGCTGCTTGCAGCTTTTGATCTTTAGTAATAATAAAGTTAAGATTATAAACTGTAATTAATAAAAATAAAAAAATAAAGTTAGGATTGGTGTGTGTGCCGAGAGGGGCAAGAGAAGCAAAGGTCTGCCTGGTGGATGCGGCCCTAACTTGCGCTCTTCTGGCTGCAGTGGGATGTCGAGGACCCTGTGACCGTTCCTTTGGCAACAATGTCAGTCGTCTTCACCTTCATCTTTGTTTTAGAGGTACTGTGAAGGTCTGCTGCTCTGGGAGGAGGGGGAGCTAGAAACAATTAAGAGAAAATCAGTGCCTCCCTTTGTGGGCATCTACTTTCAGCTCCCTTTGATGGAAAGGAGGTTGTGGGGGTTGGAAGGCTCCTTTTTCAGGGCAAGTTCTCTTAGGGTGTCTCCTTTCTGGCTGTTCTGCTTAACTTCAGCAAAGACTTCACTTTATATTTCCAATTTTCTCATTGCCAAAACATCCCGGCCAATTGTAGTGTTTAGGTATTGGCATGCCTAGGAACAGGGTTTGACTGTATGGAGCCCAGGACATAAGTGGTTGCTATTTAGGGGTTCAGATTACAACACTGTTGTAAGCATGCCAGTAACCCAGCCAAGATCTTAAAATGTCCTGTGTCACATCTATTTGTTTTGCAATCTTTTTTCTGAAATTCAAGTGTAATATCATTTTTGCTGTAAACTTCCTGATGTTTCCCAAAATACAGTTTTTCACTCACAGTAGAAAAATGACCTGCAAAGAGTGCTTTGCTATCAATCCACCAGAAAGAGATATGAAGCCTACTTGTCTATATATATCCTTAAGCCAGGCGTGGTGGTGCATGCCTGTAATCCTGGCATTTGGGGAGCCAGAGGCAGGCAGATCTTTGTGAGTTAGAGCTTGGTCTACAAAGCTAATCCAGGGCAGCCAAAGCTATACAGAGAAACCCTGTCTCAGATTTTTAAAAAAGTATCTTTATAATTAATTTTTTTCTTAACTATATTCTTAATTATACATAACATGACTCAAACTAATTGATATAAACATGCCTAAGTGCTTGCTGTGTCCTCCTTGCTTGCTTTCTCTAGGTTACAATGAAGATCATCGCGATGTCACCAGCTGGGTTCTGGCAAAGCAGAAGAAACCGATACGATCTCTTGGTGACGTCTCTTGGTGTTGTCTGGGTGGTGCTCCACTTTGCTCTCCTGGTAGGCACATCATTGAACTGTACTGTGGTTGGCAGTTAACGTCTCTCAGTTCAAGGCTGTTTCTAGTCGCTTCGTTCCACATCAGCTACTCTTAGGCGTTCTATCAGACCCCCTAAATCCCAGCTTTGCTTGTGAGAGCAATGGGATATGCTTACAAAAGCATTAACATATGTGTATATCTGCTTTCCACACAAGTGAATCCTGGACTTTCAAAGATCTAGAGTGTGAAAGTCTAAGAGGGTGCTCTTAAAGTCTCAATTAACTCTTCATCTTTACAAAGAAGAACACTGAAAGCAGAGATGAAGGCACCTGTCTAAATGTGCACAGCAGACTAGAATCACCCTGCACCCTGATATCGAGTAGCATCCATCGCACCCCACCACAAGCAGGATTTATAGTGTAGTCCCTGTGTACTCTCCAAGGCACTATTCTCTCGCAGACATCTAACACTGACTCTCTGAATCCATCAATCTCCCTTTGTCTGAGGTCTAGCCCCAAATCTACAGCCGTGAGGAAACTTGGCTAGTCTACAGTGGCGTTGCCCAATGGAAATAAAATGTGGTCACTGATGTGATGCTGGCTTACGCTGTACACTCTAAGCATTGCAGCCGCCTAGAAGGAATACTTATAAGTGCCATCTTCTCATTAGTGTTCATGTTCTCCTGATGTCTTTAATAATGGAGGCGTGGCAGGAAGTATCCAGTTCTCAGATAGTCCGTTTGCCTATCAGAAGGGGCTTGCTCTAGTATGGCTCCCCGCTATTCATACACATACTGAATGGCCTTCCTTCTTAAACCAATGCTTGTCTTCAGCATGAGAAGCTGTGTAAGTTCTCAAGCACATGTATTCACTTTCTCAAATGACAAACGGCTTTGAATATAATGATGAGCACAGCACTGTGGGAGGGTTAAGAAGAAAGTATTACACAAACAAAGATATTTACTGCTCTCATAAACTTCATAGCCTGAAAAGCTAGAAAGAGCTGCATACTGTGCTCACAAACAAATGAGGACCATGAGTGTACTGGGAAAAATGAAGGATATCCCATGTTGGACGAAGAGGTATAGGAACTAGACAAAGGTGAGGTCCTGTGGCTGAAGCAGAAGGTGTCATGGAATAAAATACAGCACAAGGTTTGGAGACGTCTTTTCAGGACTTTGATGCCCAAAGTCCTTTGATGATGTAAAAATCATCCAGTCATCATCCCATGGATTGTGCTTACCATGACTTCTAGAACACAAAGACTTAAGGTATCCTCAATAACTCCGGAAGTAACATGGAAAGAAGAGGCAGAAAAAATGTTCTAATTGTTTTTACTTTATCTAGACAAACCTTTGACTAAGTGCTGTTCACTCTAAATGGAAAAATGTAGTAAGCTTCCTATTCTCAAATATCCCAACAGAGGAAATTCTAAGCCATAAAAAAATAATGATTAAAAAAAAAATCTTCCCTCTTCTGCTTGACTGCTTTTGTTCTTCGCCTGAAAAGACCCTCTGGTCTGGGGAAAGCAATCCTTCTTTGCCATCTTTTGCAGTGAACTGCTGGGAAGGAAGGCACAGTGCTTGTTTTCCATCCAACAATGCAATGTGCCCACATTTCTGTCCTTGCGCCTCACCAAGGAGCTCAGTGGACCCCTTCCCAGGGACCCATCTGGGACTGTTGTCATTTGGCTAGGCAGCTCCTGGAGAATGCTCATGGTTTGGCATCAGCTGAATGTCACCGCTGTTATGCTGGGACCAGGGGCATCTTTGCTTCTCAGAAGAAGCCTTGTGAATCATAAAGCACAAGGTGATCTCCGGCCCTAGCACTCACCTAAAAAGCAGACTGGTGAATCCTGAGCTTGGTGGAGGGGGCGGATGCTTTCTAAAATGAATTGATTTGTGAACAGGGAACTGAACTCAGAAAAAGCTGGTTTCAAGCATTGTTGTTGTTGAAATAAGGTCCCATGTAGCTCAGGCTTGCCTGAGTCACTATGAGTCATTATGTAGTCAAGGCTGGCCTTGAATTTCTGGTCTTCCTGCCTCCACGTCCCAAAAGACATCAATACCACTGGGTTTATGCAGTTGGGATAGTGAATGCGGGGCCTCACATGGAGGAAGTCTTCTACCAGCTGAGCTACATCTCCAACCTTTCAAGCACTCCTTCCCAACATCTGCCTCCTCTTTGCCATGAGGCTTCTTTTTCCTGTCTCATTCAACTTCCTCCCATTTCATGTTTACTCTATGCTTTTCTTGCCCTGTCCTCAAATGGGCTCGTCACTGCTTTATGTAAAATGAATTTCAAAATACAGAATTCAGTTGAGCAAAACAAAACCCAAAGTTTTGTCTAAGATTTGATTTTAAATCTAATATTTATTCATGAGTTTTTGCAGTGACCTTTTCAGCACCTTTATTTCAGACAAATTTCTTATAGGAATTTTCACATTTTATTAAACTAATTATTCACTAGATTTCACAAAAGTCTTAAATGAAACTGGAACCGTAACAAGGTATTTTGTGCAAATTGTAAAAAGCTGTCTTCTGATTAAATTTCAGAATGCATATACCTACATGATGGGAGCCTGTGTGATTGTCTTTAGATTTTTCTCCATCTGTGGAAAGCATGTAAGTCTATCATGCAGAATACTTTCAAATGTCACATAAGCATGGAATCACTGATGCCAACACACCTCAGCCAACCTGGTTGTTATCGTCAACAAAGTACTAAACATCGTTAGTCAAGACTAATAAGTGTTAATTATCACACTCAATCAGTAGCTTAATTATCTTGGACTATGTTTCTTATTGTTATTTTCATTCATCATATTTTCTGAGTAAACTCAAATGTAAATGAGCGGAAACATGTTAACTCTGACACCAAAAGCCAATGTCATTCTCAGTGTGCCTTGCTCTATGGGTTTTTGTTGTTGTTGGTTTGGTTTAGTTTTGGTTTTTTTGAGACAGGATAGCCATGGCTATTCTGGACTCACTTTGTAGACCAGGCTGGCCTCAAACTCACAGAGATCTACCTGTCTCTACCTTGCTAAGTGCAGAAATTACAGGTGTGTACCACCATGCCCAGATAATTTATGTTTTTAAAAATTAACTTTATTATAGAGAAAATTTATAATTGATGATGATAATGTGTCCATTATTCTAGATTGATTTATATTCTTGTTAGCATTTATGCACTACATACTTTTAAATTCTCCATTATTAAGGGATACTGTTTCCTCTTTGTCACTAGCATTATTTCACATATGGATTCATTGGTAGATTTAATAATTGGTGATAATTTGGCATTAAGCCATTATTACATCTGGGTTTTAGGAAGCCTGTGGAAGGAAGATAAATTTACTTGCTTTAGGTCAATAATGTGTGGACCTTATAGAGGTCTTCTAACAAAAGAAGAGGAAATGAAGAGCTAAGAAGCTTGCAGTGTTAATTCAATTAATTTCTCTGGAATAACCAAACTGAAGTGTGAATAAGGTTTCTCAGTGCCAGATGGTTTATGAATGATATTTAGATGTAATATCTACTAGGAAACAACTTTCAAGTGATGTTGAATCACTATGATGGGAATCACTATGTAGCCAACCTGCTCATCTATTATTCACCAGCCAGGTCCTTCACAGCTTGAAGTGATTGTTCTCTCTCCTTTTCTGTTCCTCTTTCCATTGCGCTGACACTGCTCCCTTCCTTGCTCACAGGTGACATTAAAGATGCTCCTTCTGACCGTGGTTGTCAGCATGTACAAGAGCTTCTTTATCATCGTAGGAATGTTCCTCTTGCTGCTGTGTTATGCCTTTGCTGGGGTTGTTCTGTTTGGCACCGTAAAGTATGGAGAGAACATTAACAGGTCAGCATGGTTTTCTCTTCCTATTTATTTTCCGAGCAAATTTCTTTTTGTTTTTAATAATTTATTCATTTTATATCCCAATTGTAGCCCCACCCTTCATCTCCTCCTGTTCCCATAATTCCTCATTCTTCCTCCCATCTCCCTTCCCTAGACCTCAAAAAGGAGGAGCCCTTCTCCCCTGACAACTAACCCCAGACTATCAAGTCTCATCAGGTCTGTCTAGATCCTCTCCCTCTGTGGCCTGGCAAGGCCATCCCACCAGGGGAAATGGATCAAAGGAAGGGTGACAGAGTCCATGTCAGAGATAACCCCTGCTGCCCTTATGAGGGCACCCACATGGAAACTGAGCTGTCTATGAGCTCCATCTGAGTAGGGGGTCTAGGTCCTCTCCATGCATGGTCCTTGATTGTTACATCAGTCTCTGTAGCCCCCCCCCTTATAATAAAATCATGAATAAAAATTTATATACTTCTTGACTACTAAAGACTTCGGGTAGTATAACAAGGAAGTAGTCTGTTGAGAAATAAAATAAAACATACATATTTTAAAATGCATTTTCCAGTTGACAAAGATAATTATTTTTGGTTTAGAACCCTTAGAAAATAAAAAACAGCAGGGTGCTGTGGTACATGCCTGTGATCCCAGAACTCTGGGAGGCAGGAGCAGGTGGACCTCTCTGAGTTCAAGGCCATCCTGGTCTACAGAGTGAGTCCAGAACAGCCAGGGCTACAAAGAGAAACCATATCTCAAAATACAAAACCAAATGTCTTTGTTATGTACTGTAGCATATTTTGGATATATGCCTAGGAGTGGTATAGCTGGATCTTGAGGAAGCGCTATTCCTAATTGTCTTAGAAAGCACCAGATTGATTTCCAGAGTGGTTGTACAAGTTTACATTCCCACCAGCAGTGGAGGAGGGTTCCCCTTTCACCACATCCTCTCCAGCATGTGTTGTCTCTTGAGTTTTTGATCTTAGCCATTCTGATGGGTGTAAGGTGAAATCTCAGGGTCATTTGGATTTGCATTTTCCTGATGACTAAGGATGTTGGGCATTTCTTTAATTGTTTCTCTGCCATTCGATATTCCTCTGTTGAGAATTCTCTGTTTAGTTCTGTACCCCATTTTTTAATTAGATTACTTGATTTGTTGATGTTTAACTTTGAGTTCTTTATATATTCTGGACATTATCCCTCTGTCAGATATAGGGTTCGTGAAGATCCTTTCCCAATCTGTAGGCAGTTATTTTGTTTTGTTGACAGTGTCCTTTGCTTTACAGAAGCTTTTCAGTTTCATGGGGTCTCATTTATTGATTGTTGCTCTTAGAGCCTGTGCTGTTGGTGTTCTGTTCAGGAAGTTGTCTCTCCTGTGCCAATGAGTTCGAAGCTCTTCCCTACTTTTTCTTCTAACAGGTTTAGTGTGTCTGGTTTTATATTGAGGTCTTTTATCCACTTGGACTTTAGTTTTGTGCAGGGTGATAAGTATGGACATTTGCTCAACCATGTTTGTAGCGGCTTTATTCATAATAGCCAGAATCTGGAAACAACCCAGATGTCCCTCAATTGAGGAATGGATACAGAAATTATTGTACATTTACACAATGGAATACTACCCAGCAATTAAAAACAAGGAAATCATGAAATTTGCAGGCAAATGGGAATTAGAAAAGATCAACCTGAATGAGGTAACCCAGAAGCAGAAAGACAGACATGGTACATACTCACTTATAAGTGGATATTAGACATCTAATATAGGATAATCATACTAAAATCTGTACACCTACAAAGCTAAGCAAGAAGGACGACCCTGGGTAAGATACTCAGTCCTCATTCAGAAAGGCAAACAGGATAGACATCCGAAGGTGAAAACAAGGAACAAGAGAGGAGCCTACTACAGAGGGCCTCTGAAAGACTCTACCCAGCATGGTACTAAAGCAGATGCTGAGACTCATAACCAAACTTTGGTGGAGTGAAGGGAATCTTATATAAGAAAGGGGAGATAGAAAGACCTCGAAGGGTCTGGAGCTCCACAAAGAAAACAACAGAACCAAAAAATCTGGGCCCAGGGGTCTCTTCTGAGAGTGATACTCCAACCAAGGACCATTCATGGAGATAACCTAGGACCCCTGCACAGAAGTAGCCCAGGGCAGCTCAGTCTCCAAGTGGGTACCCTAGTAAGGGGAACAGAGACCATCTTTGACATGAACTCAGTGGCTGGCTCTTTGATCTCCCCCCCCCCCCGAGGAGGGAGCAGCCTTACCAGGCCACAGAAGAAGACAATGCAGACAGTCCTGATGAGAACTGATAGGCTAGCGTCAGATAGAAGGGGAGAAGGACCTCTCCTATCAGTGGACTGGGGAAGGGGCATGAGAGGAGATGAGGGAGGGAGGGCAGGATTGGGAGGGGCTGAGGGTGGGGACTACAGCTGGGATACAAATGAATAAATATGCTAAATTAAAAAATTTTTATTAAAAAAAAACAGAAAACCCAAAAGAAACAAACAAACAAAAAAAGAAAAAACAAAACACAAAAGTTTTATAACTCTACCCATTGTCAGGAATAACCCCACCCAATTTTAGCAGTTTTTGTATCCATGTATTTCACTTAAATGCTGAATTATTTTGTGGGTGGGGGAGGTAAAACAGTTTTTAGATGACTTTCTTTTTCAGCAAAGTGTGGAAAGTCAGAAACTACCAAATCACTGTGCTGTGAGAAAAGCGTTTTCAAAATCTCATCTTCCACATTATAGAAGCATCTACTGTTGTTTTCTTAAAGTTTCTAAAACAACAAAACACATACAAATGCCTTGCTGGCCGATGATTCATTTGGTGTGTGGCTGAGCCTCCTTCTATGACCCAAGTGAAGAAATCTCTTAGTAGCCAAAATAACAACTGAGTTGTTAAAGCAGAAAGTCAGTAAGTGGTGAGCCTGTGATAGCCTGTGATAGCCTGTGATAGCCTATGATAGCCTGTGATAGCCTGTGATAGCCTGTGATAGCCTATGACAGCCTGTGATAGCCTATGACAGCCTGTGATAGCCTGTGATAGCCTGTGACAGCCTGTGATAGCCCGTGACAGCCTGTGATAGCCTGTGATAGCCGGCGTGTCAGGCACCTGTGCCTGCGGGGAAGGGTGTATGAAAGGAAGAGTTTAGGCTTCAGTAACAGAACCCTGGCAAGCAGATTTGCGAAACCCCCTGTTGGGGTGGTCACCACCCACACTGCTTTATGACAGTGACAACTTGTGCAGTCGCCATTCTGTCTTCTTTTCTTAAATTAGGCACGCCAATTTTTCTTCAGCTGGCAAAGCCATTACGGTACTGTTCCGAATTGTCACGGGAGAAGACTGGAACAAGATTATGCATGATTGTATGGTAAATATCCCTCATCATCATCAGCGCCTCCATACACTCCTGTGCACATGTTAGCGTCAAGGCCTTGTAGTGAAAAAAAGAATACTCTGGCTATCTTCTAGTCCATAAGTTGCACTTTTTAACATTACAAGATATTACTATAAAAAGCAAAACTTTCACTTAACTTGAGGTATCATAATCATATTTAATAATGAGCATCATTCTTTCCTTCCTATCCTTCATAGCTTAGCAATCAGGAGGACATTTATTTAACCCATTCATCAGACACTCACCAAGTCCCTGGTTTGCCCTGGGACATAAGCAAGACTTTCTGCAGATCCAAAGGTTCCTCAAGGCACATACTTCATGTGGTCTGAGCCACTCCATCCTTTGGTATTCTGCTCTCGGTCCAATAAGTCTGTATCATCCTCTGGTCATGGGGTTAATGCTTACTTCTTCAGCCATTTTTAACCACACTTAAAACTGTGGGTTATATATTCTACAGTGCTCTGTAGTTCTTGTTTGGACATGAGTAATAGTTCCGGAGAACTGTAGAGTCAAGCTCCTTTCTTTGCCCTCCCTCTTACCTCATGGGCACCAACGATGTCCTACAGACATTCTGGGAGGGAACACACCTCTCCAGGCAGGAAGGTGCTGTCCGTGGATGGCTCAGTGTTGAACTGCTGAAGTGGGACTAGTGTACTCAAGAACTGCTTTACATTCCATTTGTTTTTGCTTACTGTGAATTAACATAAATTAAATGTAAATTTCCACATGAAGCTAATGGCCCTTGCGCTGGAAACTGTGCTGTTAAACCTGGTCAGCATTCAGGGGACAGGGGTGTGATTTGTTGTTAGCTATCCCTAACACTTGGCACAGATATACTACACAATAGGGTTTAGAGAATTTTAAATATGAAAAATGGAAACCATATTTATCCACTCAGGTATAACCCAAGGCAGAATTAGATAAATCCTACATATGAGTCCCAGAAAAGTCTGTGGGAACACATAAGACAGGACTGTTTTTCTGCCCCAGAGAAAGCTGAACAGTATGAGAAAAGGGTTTGAACTTCAGAGGGCCCTACAACATGCAAGGGGCCTTATCCATTTCTGTAGCATCTCCTTTTGGTGCCTCAGGGCTGGTGATTGGTCCTTACACAACTTGAATGTGGATTTTGTATGTGTAGTATACCTCCATACAGATTAATCCATTGCTTAAGTTAAAAACAAAAAAAAGTTAAAGGTCCTTTAACTTTTAATTAAATAATTAAAATTATTTAATTTTCTAGAGTTTGACTCTAGGGACCGTTGGTGAGGGTGTGAAGGCTGTCCTTCAAAAAAAAAAAAAACTGTTCATTTACATTTTGCTTCTATCAATGGCATTGAACTGGGGCATTTACAAGACCAAAAGCATAACACAGATGAAATGCTCTTGTGGAGTTCTGCTGCAAATGGTGTGTGTGTGCATGTGAGCTTTGGCATGGTGGCTTTAAATTAACTGCATCCCATGCTGTCAAGAATGCGTTCTTAGAGCACTACAGTCAGGAGAAATCTGTGGCCTTCCCTCCCCTCCCTCTTCCCCGCTGCCCCACAGGTCCAGCCTCCATTTTGTACTCCAGATGACTTTACATACTGGGCAACAGACTGCGGCAACTACGCAGGGGCCCTTATGTACTTCTGCTCCTTCTACGTCATCATCGCCTACATCATGCTGAATCTGCTCGTCGGTAAGGGATGTTTGCGGAGTTATTTTTTTATCTCTTCAAACTCAGGTACTTGGATAATTATGTACAATTTCTGAGTAATTATCTTGGATTGCTTGGGGCGGGTGTTTCATGGCATTAATTATAAATTGCTGCCTCTCAACCCAGGATCTGAAAAGACCTTTGAAAGGCATGGAAATGGCAGTTGATTGCACTTTCAAGAGTTATCCTATTTATTATACTCATTAATTCCCAAAGAGCTCTTTCCATAGATTGGGCTGAACACAAATCGAGGAGGGCTACTTTTACAGCCTCAGAATATCACAGTTTGGCTTTGTTCACCCAGTCGTGGGGCCATCCAGACCCAATACGACCCTTTAAAATGCCCTGGAACTCTCAAGTCAGAGTAGAAGCCAGCTGGCATGAATGTCCACACATAGTGTCTTTGAGCCCATGACCCTCATGTTTTGGAAAGGCAAGAGCTGAATCAATAGCTTAGTTTAAGTGAGAGACATGCCAGCTTGGAAACTGTACTGAAAGCACTTTAAAAAAAAAAAAAGGCTTTATAATGTGAGTGATAACATTTATTATTTATAAGGATGTTTTACTTTTTCTGAAAAATGACAGGTTTTCATGATTGCTTAACATCTGCATTTCTTTCCTAGCTATAATTGTGGAGAATTTCTCCTTGTTTTATTCCACTGAAGAGGACCAGCTTTTAAGTTACAATGATCTTCGCCATTTTCAAATCATATGGAACATGGTGGATGATAAAAGAGAGGTAGGACCGTGGGTTGCCTCACTTGCTTGCCAAGCATGCACAGGGTCCTGGGTTAGACCCCAGCACACATAAACCTAGGTGTGGTGGTCATTGGGAAATAGAAGCAGGAAAGTTGGATATTCAAGCTTTTCTTCCACCTTGGGGTGTGAGAGTGGACCATTGTTTCCTGCTTTATCTCAAAAAGAACAAATGACATATTTCAAGGGTCTTATATCTAAAAATTGACATAGACTAAATGTGGAACTGCCACTGCTGTTGCAAAACCCTGTCATTAATGAGTCAGGTGAATATGCTAAAGGTAGGGGTACAGAGTCGTCTCTCCTCGTGTCCTTTCCAACCACGAACAGCCTGGTCTTTAGACTTCCATAAGGTCAGCAAGGGAAGAAAATAAAGGATTTGCAAGGGTGTCTGCCTTGGGCTCAAGCAGAAGGAAGGAAATTGCAGCTCACACAGGAAAAGCCGGCTACAGACTTACCATCACCTCAACCTTAAGCAGCCATCGAGATGAGATGCACACGGGAGTTACAAGTGATGATCTGGGATGCCACTCAGTGGTTGAGTATGTTTCGAGCATGCAAAAAGCCCTGGGTTCAATCGCCAGTACCAGCTAGACAAGGCAGCTGTATGGAAAGGGGATCCAAAACCAAACAAGAGTCAGATACAGCCCCTGCTCCAGTTGTTGGGAGAGCCACGTGAAGATCAAGCTACACGTCTGTTACACGTATCTGGGGGGTCCAGCTCATGCATGTTCTTTGGTTGGGAGAACCTATGGGCCCAGGCTAGTTGATTCTGTAGGTTTTCTTGTGGTGTTCTTGACCTCTCTGGCTTCAATCCTCCCCCTCTTTCTCATGATTCCTTGAGGTCCCCCTAATGTTTGCATATGGTATCTGCATCTGTTTTCATCAGTTGCTGGGTGAAGCCTCTCAGATGACAGTTATGCCAGGCTCCTGTCTGCAACTATAGCAGAATATGATTAATAGTGCCAGGGGTTGGCTCTCATAGTATGGGTCTCAATTGGGCCAGTCATTAATTGGACATTCCCTCAATTTCTGCTTGATCTTTATCCTTGCACATTTGTAGGCAGGACAAATTTGGCTCAGAGGTTTGATGGGTGGGTTTCTGTCCACATCTCTCCCTTGGAAGTCTTGCCTGATTACAGGAGGTAGCCATTTCAGGTTCCATATCCCCTGTTGCTAGGAGTCTTAGCTAGAGTCACCCTCATAGATTCCTGGGATATTCCTTTGTCCTAGGTTTCTGGTTCATCCCAGAGCTGCACACACACACACACACACACACACACACACACACACACACACACACCAATTCCAATACTCTTTGCATCAGTCTCCCCCACCTGCTCTATCTGTTCCCCTACCTACCCCCTCCCATCCTACTCCCTCCCCCCACCTCAGAAGTCTATTCTATTTCCTCTTCTGAGTGAGATTCAAACATCCTCCCTTGGGCCCTCCTTGCTACTTAGCTTCTTTCGGTCTGTGGATTGTAGCATGGTTTTCCTGTACTTTATGGCTAATATGCACTTATAAGTGAGTTCTTACCATGTGTGTCTTTCTGGATCTGGGTTACCTCACTCAGGATGATCTTTTCTAGTTCCATCCATTTGCCTGCAAATTGCATAATGTCTTTGTTTTAAATAACTGTGTAGTATTCCACTGTGTAAATGTGCCACATTTTCTTTATCCAGTGTTCTGTTGAGAGACATCTAGGTTGTTTCCAGTTTCTGGTTATTACAAACAAAGCTGCTGTGCACATAGTTGAGAAAGCGTCCTTTGGGTATGTATACCTTATATACCACAAGTAGGCGTTCTGTTGGATATATGGCCAGGATTGGTATATCTGGGACTTGAGGAAGGTCTATTTCCGATTTTCTAAGAAAACTCCAGAATGATTTACACAGTGGTTATACACATTTGCACTCTGATCAGCACAGGAAGAGTGTTCCCCTTGCTCCACATCCTTGCCAACATGTGCTGTCCCTTGAGTTTTTGATACTAGCCATTCTGATGGGTGTTAGATGGAATATAAGAGTGGTTTTCATTTGTATTTCCCTGATGACTAAGGATGTTGAACATTGCTCTAAGTACTTCTTGACCATTAGAGAGTCTTGAGAATTCTGTTTAGCTCTGTACCACATTAACTGGGTTATGTGGTTTGTTGCTGTTTAATTTCTTGAGTTCCTTATATATTTTGGGTATTAGCTCTCTGTCAAATAAAGGGTTGGTGAAGATCTTTTCCCATTATGAAGGCTACTGTTTTGTCATATTGACAGTGTCTTTTGCCCTGCAGAAGCTTTTCAATTTCATGAGGTCCCATTTATTGATTGTTGCTTTTAGAGCCTGAGCTGTTGGTGTTCTGTTCAGGAAGTTGTCTCCTATACCAATGAGTTCAAGGCTCTTCCCCACTTTCTCTTCTATTAGATTTAGTGTTTCTGGTTTTATGTTGAGGTCTTTGATCCACTTGGACTTTACTTTTGTGCAGGAAGATAACTATGGATAATTTGCATTATATTGGTATATGGGTATAACTGCATTATATTGCAGTTAGACAAGCACCATTTGTTGAAGATGCTATCTTTTTTCCATTGTATGGTTTTGTCTTCTTTGTCAAAATCAAGTATCTGTATGTGTGTGGGTTTATTTCTAGGTTTTTTTATTCCATTCCATTGATCAACCAGCCTATGTCTATGCCAGTACCATATAGTTTTTATTACAATTCCTCTGTAGTACATTGTGAAGTCAGGGATGGTGATACCTCCAGAAGTTGTTTTATTGTAAAAGCTTATTTTAGCTATCCTGAGTTTTTTGTTTTTCCATATGAAGTTTACAGTTGTTCTTTCAAAGTCTGTAAAGAACTGTGTTGGTATTTTGATAGGGAGTGTATTTTGATAGTGAATCTATAGATTGCTTTTGGTAAGATGGCCAATGTTCCTATGTTAATCCTACCAATCCATGAGCATGGGAGGTATTTCCATCTTTGATATCCTCTTTAGATTCTTTCTTCAAAGACTTGACCTTCTTGTCATACAAGTCTTTCATTTTTTTGGTTAGAGTTATACCAAGATATTTTATATTATTTGTGGCTATTGTGAAAGTTATTGTTTCCCTAATTTATTTATCAGCCTGTTTATTATTTGTATAAAGAAGAGGTACTGATTTTTGTGTTAAGTTTGTATCCAGCCGCTTTGCTGAAGGCATTTATCAGCTGTAAGAGTTCTCTGATAGAATTTTGGGGATCACTTATTAATACTATCATATCATCTGTGAATAGCAATATTGACTTCTTCATTTCCAGTTTGTATTCTCTTGATTTCATTTAGTAGTCTTATTGCTCTAGCTAGGACTTCAAGTACTATGTTGAATAGATATGGAGAGAGTGGACAACTTTTGCCTCCCTTTAGTGAAATTGCTTTAAGTTTTCTCTCCATTTAATTTGATGTTGGCTATAGGCTTGCTATATATTGCCTTTATTATGTATAGGTATGGTCCTTGTAGCCCTCATTTCTCCAATACTTTTATCATGAAAGCGTGTTGGATTTTGTCAAATGCTTTTTCAGCATCTAATAAGATGATCAAGTGTTTGTTTTTCCTTTCAGTGTGTTTATATGGTAGCTTACATTATTATATTTTTATATGTTGAACTATCCTTGCATCCCTGAAATGAACCCAACTGAATCATGGTGGATGGTATATTTGATGTGTTTCTCTCTCTCTCTCCCTCTCTCTTTTGTTGAGTCTTTATATGGTTTAGGTATCAGGGTGACTGTGGCCTCATAGAATAAGTTTGACAATCTTCCTTCTGTTTCTATTTTGTGGGATAGTTTGAGGAGTGTTTATATTACCTCTTCTTTGAAACTCTGGTAGAATTCTGTGTTAAAACCATCTGGCTCAGGGCTTTTTTGGTTGTGAAACTTTTTTTTTTTTTTTTTTTGCTTTTAATTGTAAACTTTAATATTTTAGCAACTTCCGTATGAATATTTGGAAGAGGAGAATACATTTCAAAAACAGATACAATTGTACAAAAAGTTGCTTTATGAGAAATAAATTGTTCCTATATAGAACTTTTAGGACATTAAAAGATAACACTAAGGAAATTACATTTTTAATGATTGTTTCTATTTCTTTTGGGGTTATAGGATGGTTTATATTGTTTACCTGATCTTGATTTAATGTTGGTAAGTGATATCTGTCAAGAAAATCATCTATTTCATTTAGATTTTCCTATTTAATGGAGTACAGGCTTTTGAAGTAAGACCTAATAATTCCTTGGATTTCCTCAGTGTCTGTTGTTATGTCCTGGTTTTCATTTCTGATTTTGTTAATTTGTATACTGTCTCTGTGTCATTTATTTAGTTTGGTTAAGGGTTTGTCTGTCTTGTTGGTTTTCCCAAAGAACTAGCTGTTGATTTTTTTTTGATACTTTGTATTGTTCTCTTTGTTTCTAATTTATTGATTTCAGCCCTGAGTTTGATTATTTCCTTCCATCTACCCTCTTGGGTGTGTTTGCTTCTTTTTGTTTTAGAGAGTTCAGGTGTGCTTTTGAGTTGCTAGTATTAAATCTCTCTAATTTCTTTATAAAGACTCTTAATGATATAAATTTTCCTCTTAGCACTGCCCATATGTTTGGGTACATTGTGCCTTCATTTTCATTGAATCCTAGGAAGTCTTTTAATTTCTTTTTTTTTTTTAATTTCCTCCCTGATCCAGTGATCATTGAGTAGATTTGTTCCATTTTCATGAGTTGTTTCTGTTGTTGTTGAAGTCCAGCCTTAATCTGTGGTAGTCTGATAAAATGCAGAGTTTATTTCAATTTTCTTGTATGTGTTGAGACTTGCTTTGTGTGTGACTATGTGGTCAATTTTGGAGAAGGTTCCTTAAGGTGCTAAGAAGATGGTATATTCTTTTGTGTTTGGGTGGAAGTTCTGTAAATATCTGTTAAGTCCATTTTATTCATAATGTCCATAGTTTCATTCTTTTCCTGTTTAGTTTTTATCTGGATGACCTGTTCATTGGTTGAGAGTAGGGTGTTGAAGTCTCCCACTATGTGTGAGGTTCAATGTGTGATTAAGTAAGTTTTTTATGAATGTTGGTGTCCTTGCATTGCGAGCATAGATGTTCAGAATTTAGATGTCGTCTTGATGGATTTTTTTCTTTGATGAGTATGAGGTGTCCTTCCCCATCTTGTTTAATTTTGGTTGAAAGTCTATTTTATTAGATATTAAAATGGCTACTTAGGCTTGCTTCTTGGGTCCATTTTCTTGGAAAACCTTTTTCCAGCCTTATACTCTGAAATAACATCTATCTTTGTTGCTGACGTGTATTTCTTGCATGAGGCAGAATGATGGATCTCATTTTCACATCCATTCCCTTTAGTTTGTGTCTTTTTTTATTGGGAAATGGATTCCACTGATGTTGAGCAATAGTAATGATCAATTAACAATCAAACTGTTAATTCCTGTTATTTTGATGTTGGTAGTGTGTATGTGTGTATGTGTGTGTGTTTCCTTTCTTTTGTTTTTGCTAGTGTGGAAGTGTTTATCTCCTATCTCCTGTTTTCTTGGATGTAATTAATCTCCTTGGATTGGAGTTTTCCTTCCAGTATTTTCTGTAGGTCTAGATTTATTAATAGATATTGCTTAAATTTAGTTTTGTCTTGGAATATCTTGTTTTCTCCATCTATGGTGACTGAAAGTTTTGCTGGGTATAGTAGTCTAAGTTGGCATCTGTGGTCTCTTAAAGGCTGCATGACATCTGTCCAGGCCCTTCCAACTTTTAGAGTCCCTGTTGAGATGTCAGGTATAATTCTGATAGGTTTGCCTTTGTAAGTAATTTGGCTATTTTTCTCTTGCAGCTTTTAATATTCTTTCCTTGTTCTGTAGATTTAGTGTTTTCATTATTATATGGCAGAAGGATTTTCTTTTATGGTCCTATCTAATTGTTGTTTTGTATGCTTCTTGTATGCTTATAGGCATCTCCTTCTTTAGACAGGGAAACTTTCTTCTATGGTTTTGTTGAAACTATTTTATGGCCTTTGGAGCTGGGAAGTTTCTGTTTCTTCTATTCCTATTATTCTTAGGTTAGGTCTTTTCATAGTTTCCTGGATATTTTGTGTTTTAGATTTAACATTTTCTTTGACTAACATATTAATTTAGTCAATCATATCTTCTGTGCCTCTCTTCCATCTTTTGCGTTCTTTTGTGATGCTTGCATCTGTAGTTCCTTTTGTCTTCTCAAGGTTTTCAATCTCCAGGATTCCGTCAATTTGTGTTTTTTAAATTTATTTATTTTTTATTAATTGCAGTTTATTCACTGTGTATCCCAGTTGTTGCCCCCTCCTCATCCCCAACCAATCCCACCCTCCCTCCTTCATCTCCTTCCATGTCCCTCCCCAAGTCCACTGATAGGGGAGGTCCTCTATCCCTTCCCTCTGATCCTAGCCTATCAGTTCTCATCAGGACTGTATGCATTGTCTTCCTCTGTGGCCTGGTAAGGCTGCTTCCCCCTTAGGGGAAGATGATCAAAGAGCCAGCTACTGAGTTCATGTTAGAAACAGTATCTGTTATTTATTGCTTCTATTTCCATTTTCAGCTCTTAAACAGTTGTATTAATTTTTGTCACCTTTTTTATTTTATTTTTCTGTATTTTTAAGGGATTTATTCATTCCCTATTTAAAGGCCTCTTATTTTTATAAGATTTGATTTGAGGTCATTTTCTTGTGTTTGGCTGTGTTAGAAGATCCAGCACTGGCTGTAGCAGCATAGCTGGGTTCTGGTGCTGCCATGTTGCTTTGGCTTTTCTTGATTATGTTCTTACCTTTAGCCATATGGTTGTCTCTGGTGTTGGCGGGATCTTCCTTATACCTGCAGGCCTCCTCAAGGATCCAGGCAGATCCACCTATTCTTTTTATAACAAGATAATGTTAAAGAATGAACACTAAGCCTTAAATTAAATGATGTTTGTCTGGTAATTGAGTCACATTTTAACAATGACAATATTAAAAGGAGGAAAGACATAATAGTAAGTTGGGTAAAACTTGGACAAAACACACCCTGCTTTCTTTTAAACCCTGATGAGTAGCAAACATGTGTTTACTGCCAAGTCACTTCAAGCAAAGGCTAAAAACAATCAAAGAGTAGTGTCAGCACCAAGAGCTTCAATGATATGAATGTCAAACATGCATGAGGAATTTAGAGTTATTTTATGAAATCATGTACAATAAATGTGTTCATTTCATGTGGCTCTTGTTGATTGTGTTCTCATGCTTACCTTTATCCATACCGTTGACCCTGGTGCTGGCTGGTCACCTGGATGTTTCCAGTGTGAGCAGGACTCCTGGAAGTTCCTGGGGCCAGCAGGCCTTTTTGAGAAGGCAAGCAGAGCAGTGGCCTGGTGGATGGAGCTCAGCTTACTGATGCTGGCTGTACACCAGGGAGACCTGGCAGGGGCTGGATGTCTAACAGATGTAAAAATCTGGAAATAAAGTTTACCTGGTATTTTTCCATAATTAGCGAAAGCAGAGGCAACTTTCTTGATCTCAGCTACCTTCTTTCCTTTTCTCTTTTTCCACTGTCTCCTTCTCAGCATCCTGCATGTTCTTTCCTTGTTCCTCTCCCCTTCAACCTCTTATTAATCCCTACCCTCCCAAAACCAAGCACAGGCCTGGGCACTGAGGTAAAGCAATTCCCAAATGGCAAGGTTGTACCCACAGTGCCTTTGTTCCAATTGAGGGTGTGACCCATTAAAGGTAAAATGGAACTAATGACATAGGTTAATATGAGTAATCCAAATTAATGCTTCAGACTTTGAATTCTTTTTAGTACCAACACAACACTACAAATGGAAAAGTCATATTTGATTTCACATGATAAGTCATAGACAAAACCCAGGCACACTAAAAATATTATTTAAAATTTCTTCCAGGATATGTGTAAGGCATATGTGAAACAAAAATTATTGGTACCTGCCTATAATCCTAGTTCATGAGAGACAGAAGTAGAGGTTCTGGAGCATGACAGCCTTACATTTAAGGTCAGCCTGGAACATATAAAAACTTGTTTTTAAAAGATTGTAAATAAAAAATATATGAATGAATTTTATGCTCAGACTTTTATCCCCAATATCACTCATTGTGGAAATGTAAATATTCCAAATATAAAATTACAAATTCAAAACACTTCTGGTCCTAACATTTTGGTAGAGGACACTCAACCTGTATGAGTGTCCAGGAGTTATGAGCATGTTAAAGAAAGCAGAGAGTGGATTGGCTTGGGGTGGACCCTTCACTAAAATGGTCATGAGGATATGGGTGAAAAGTGACAATTGTGCTTACAACCAGAAATTAGGAAGGTTCTGCCTTGAAAGATCCATCCTGAGAAGATCCAAAAAGAGCAAAGGGAGAGTTGAGGGTCCAAGACAAGGAGCTAGCACAGTCGACATGAGGGTGTGGAAGACAAGGTGTGGCGGCGGTGCAGGGTCTGGCCTCGTCCCCGCTCTCTGCCTTCCATAGTACTCCCTGTCCCCCACAGCTGCGCACCAGGCTCCTGTGAACTTCTGAGGTAGTAGCTTGTGGAGGACAGGGATACCAAGCCTACTTCTTTTGTCTCATCTAGATATACATTTGTCTCTGTAACTGTTACCCACAGAAACTGACCTTAGCTGATATGTACAGGGAAGACCACACTCCAATTAACACCGAGATGCTGATGACTAGCAAGAAGCCCTAGCCACCAGGTTCATTCAAAGATACAGTCAGAGTTGATATATCAGGCTCAGTTGCATCGGAATTCAGTGCTATCTCTTAAGGTTTCAGTGTCCAAATTTGTTTTATCCCAGATGAAGGGCAAAGCTCAGTCCCCATTAACTTGTCTAAGTTGTCCTAATCTTTGAGAAGACCTACAAAGAAGCTACCTTTCATTGAAAGCACAGTAGCCAATGCTAAGTCTTAAGACCCAAGTGAAGTGAGGAGATTGGTGTTCATGTGCATTGCCTGTTCAGCAAGTGTGCACGTGGAGAGGCAGGTAGACTACTGAGCATAAGCAGTAAGGGCTAGCTCCAGGGAAAGCTACATGGGCGTTCCTCACCCTCCCTGGCTCTGAAGTCAACATTGTGGCTCCCAGGACCAGAAGAGCAGAAGGTTAGTGCTTTGTACTTCACACCACATGCTTAGTACACATCATTCTACCCAGCTTTCAAGGAGACCAGTGACTTTCTTTCTGTCCGGTGCTGTTTCTGTTGGTGAATCCCTGCCTCTGCCTCCTTGGTGTTGTGGTTATAAGTCTGAGCCACCAGTTCTGGCTCAGAAATTCATTTTCTTGTGTATGTTTCCCTATAAAAAGAGACTCCCACCCAGTGAATCCCTAGAGGCCCCTTGATGACTTACCTTGCTGTTTCATCCAGGGTGTGATCCCCACCTTCCGAGTGAAGTTCCTGCTACGGCTGCTGCGTGGGAGGCTGGAAGTGGACCTTGATAAAGACAAGCTCCTTTTTAAGCACATGTGCTATGAGATGGAGAGGCTGCACAATGGTGGTGATGTCACCTTCCATGATGTCCTGAGGTATGAAGCTGGTCCCACAGCCCAGGGTCAGAGATTCACTGAGGCCAGAAATGAAATGTGTGACACAGAGGCCCTTCAGTTAACAAGAATGTTTAAAGCCTGAGTTGTCATGCTGCCCAGGTTACAATGCAAGGGCATGTATTCTAGGCATGAAATAGTCTTTCTCATTGCCCCATAATGATCATATATGATCAGTGCCTCACACAAGAAGGATAAGAATCAGTGGCCTTCACTCCAGAAGGAAAACACAGTTCTGCCTCTTAATTAGGGGATAAGGGTGTGTTATCCTGCAAGAGTTAAGTGCCTTGTTAGGGATAGTTGGTTCCATGGTCAATGTGGAGCTAAAATCCAGATATTCTCACTTGGGTGAGTCTGGAAGAATGTGCCCACCTGCTCTGTAGTAACTAACCCTGTTGCTTGAAGCACTACATTTTCTGTGTCCTATGAGCACCAGGCAGGACAAAGGTTCAAAGTCAGTCCCTCTGAGGAGCATCTGTGTTAATATCGTTGAGCCACTGTGCTGAATTCCCAGCAATAGACGTTATTACTCGTGGGTCTAGAAGCAGGAAACCTGAAGACAATGGCTGGGTTGATTCCTTGTGAGGCTGTGAGGAAGAATCTGTTCCAACCCTCTCCTGGAGCAACCAGCGGCTTCTTGTAACCAGTTATCTTGGATTAAGCCCATCTTAACTAGGTCTGAAGTGAACTCTAGACATCCTGAAGCTCTTGACAGAAATCTTAAAATATCATTTATGCTCCAGAAAAATTCCTGTCAAGGTACAATGTCATTTGACCTCAACTGCATAGTATTTAATGGCTAAAATAGAACTTATGGCCCATATCAAAGAAACTGAAATATTATTTCAACATAATTGATTTCCTTCATAACAGTGTGTGAAACATTATTGTAAGGAACCCTTCACAATGTTCCCTGCCAGAGGGACCTATGACACAGAAGCTGTCTAGAACCCTTGACCTGGCATGTTAAATGTTGGGCATTGTCATACATTTGGGGGGTCATTCAGGTAAATAAAACTTAAAAGAAGAAAAAGAGCCAGAGCAGCAAAGGAAAGGCCTCAGGGAAAGTCCCTCCAGTTATCCATTTTGCCTCTTGCTATGGTTTCAGCCACAAATAAGCTAAAGATCAGAGAAAGGCAGGGCAAGACTCTGTGTGGGTGAGAAAGAGTGCCATGACTCTCAGAATGCTGCTCTTGAGGTGGCACAGTGGTTTTAGGTTGACCAGGAGGCACCCAGCCTGACTGTTGTTACTGCTCCCATCTTCCAGCATGCTGTCCTACCGCTCTGTAGACATCAGGAAGAGCCTGCAGTTGGAGGAGCTACTGGCAAGGGAGCAGCTGGAGTACACCATAGAGGAGGAGGTGGCTAAGCAGACGATTCGCATGTGGCTGAAGAAGTGCTTAAAACGCATCCGGGCTGTGAGTGGTTCCTTTCCTGGGGCTGTGATTGAAAAAAAACATTCTGACAAAAGAAACTTAAATGAGAAAGACTTATCCTGGCTCACAGTTCAAGGGTACAGTTCGTTATGGAGGGAAAAACAAAATGGCAGGAGCTTAATCACATATGTGCTATGTAATCACTTATCTACAATCAGGAATTGGAGAGGGTGGATGAATACCAGCATTCGTCCTACTTTCAACATCTTACATACTCCAGGACCCCTTGCTCAGAGATTGGTCTCACTAACAATTATGATGAGTGTTCCCCAACATCTGTAATCAAGAAAATCCCCACAAGCAGGACCAGGGGTCCATCTCTCAAGTGACTCTGGATTACTGTCCAGTTGATAATTAACACTGGCCATCACACGCATGCACACACACTCAGAGAAAAAGGGGCAAAGAGAAGGGCCTGATAGCCCTTAAAATGCATCTTCTTCATCCACGCATTGTGTGGCTGCTGCTGCAGCTTTAACTCTGTTCTGGCTTCAGCTCATTCCCCTCAGCAGGCTCCACCACACATTTCAGTTGAATCAAATTTGTATAACATGAAGGCTTAAAAAGCAATTTGTGAATATTAAAATATTTATGATCTCCACTTATTAAACTCAACTGTATGAAATCCCCAAAATACCTAGAGACAGAATTTACAAAACTATTTTTATATTGCTGTGAAAAGTTTTACCATATGGTTTATCATGCTGTTTGGTCTCTAAAGACCACCTCTCGTGGAATTTTAAATATGTGCCTGCTGCCTCCTGAACTGTAAATTTGGGTGATACTCTAAAGTATTAACGAATATGTACTCTATTAGCATATGCTGTTTCCAGCGAGTACTTCTATTGGGTAATTAACATTTATAAATGCTTTTGTCTTATGCTTCACATACAGAGAAGAAAGGCAAACTACTCCATATATACTTCCTGTAATGCAGTTAGTTATGTAAGATTTGCTTGATCCTGGCTTTCAGAACAACACCCACTTCAAAAATGTGCATTTCCTTAGAGGAAAAAGTTCCCAAAAAGAAACACCCCCTTGCCTCCTAGAGGAAGGTAAACTGCCTACTACAGCCCAGTCACAGCAAGACCACCACAGCTCTGGTTCCATGGGTCACAAATGTCCTGCTGGGATCTTAAGAGGGAAGCCTTGGCCAGGAACAGAGGTTGCTGCTGGATTGACCTGGCAGATTGACCTACAAAGTCATGAACTAACACAGAAGTCAAAGTTTCCTTCTTATCTACTTAGCACTCTTGTGCCTAGGACTTTCCATGGGAGACAGTGGCTGCAGTGGTTAAATGAGAATAAAATTAAATAATGAGGGAGAAGAGAACACCCACATTAATACTCTTAAATAACATAAACTGGCATTGATGAGCCTAACAATCCAGTGGTTGTACAAGTGGAAAAGACAGGATGTTTCTGATCTCTAGGACTTGTATATCAATCTAACATCCTCAAAACTAATTCAAAATCCTTGGAAATTCCTAAGAGGTCGGCAGTCTCATTGATCTTCGAGAAGCCATGGCTTGGTGGGAACGGGCAGAGGCTGGGCCCGTTCCCCTTACTCAGCCTCTTCTTTAGAAACAGCAACAGTCATGCAGCATCATCCACAGCCTGAGGGAGAGCCAGCAGCAAGAGCTGAGCCGGTTCCTGAACCCTCCCAGCATCGAGACCACCCAGCCAAGTGAGGACAGCCACGCCGGCAGCCAGGACCACAGCACGCAACCTGAGGTAGAGACAAAGGCACCCTTCATCCGAGGGCATTCCGTGGGAGTCGATGCTGGTCACGTAGAAATTTCAAACAAAGTGGCAGTGTTTCTTGCATGACCTTTGTTGCAAAAGAATCCGAAATAACAAGCATGTATCTATTCCAGATGTTTTTATTTTTGTCATTTATAATTCAGTTGAGATTGGTTAGTAAGACCATATAGTTTGCACAGTATGTTAGTCAGCTTTCTGTTACTAAACAAAATACATGAGAAAATCAGCTGAGAAGCAGGAAAGGTTCACTTGGCTCAGGGTTTCGGACTTTTCAGCCCAGGGTGGAGAGAGTATGTGGGAAAGTGTGGTGGCCAGGGAGCGAGTGAGACAGGAATGGGTGGGACCCCAAGTCCTCTTTAAGTACAGCCCTCTTTCCTCCCACTAGGCTCCATCGCCCAAACATTTTACCACCTCTGGTTAGTGTCTTAGGCTGGACACCACGCCGTCAACTTCTGGGCCATTCAAGATCTGAACTACAGAATACATATACTAAAAATGGTTAATATCCTGAGTGGTTTTTCCTTGCTTCTTTTGTCTAAAAGTTCAATATTACCATAATAGTTTAGCTTGAGCATACAAATATCATAGAAATTTGCAGTAAATCTAGAAAAATGGATGCACTTGGCTTTCAATCCTCTTCAATAATCAAATGCATTGGATATTCACTCTTTCTCATTTGGGCATTATAGGAGCATATAAAATTTGGGAAAAATGACTTGAGGAGCTTCTGTCTATTAAAACACAGCTAATGCCATTTTTCAAAGTTATTCTATATGCCTATTAAGACAAACAAACAGAATTTCTAGCATCTGTGAGAGCCCTGTGCTATGAGAAACAGCTGGCAGGAAGGTCCCGCCCCTTTGTGTGGCTGCAATAATGATTTGATGCTAATCACATGGAGTCCATCCAGCATACTGTGAAGTGCCTCCAGCTGTGCTGAGTTCATGGCGCACAGAAACACAGTCAGAGGAAGGGGCAAAGTGAAGCATAGGCCTCCATGGCCCAGGAGAGGCTCCAAAAGGACCTGTTGTGCCATGTTCCAGTTTTGTGTGAGTTTCATGAATCCCTACAAGAAACCACAAATCACTTGCCTCCTTCTCCATAGATGTCTATGGGGACAGCCAGCAAAAGAGGTAAAAAGAAAGATCACAGTGGAACTGCCAGAGTCTGACCCAAACACATCTGGAAATTCCTTATCAGGAAAAGCCAGATCAGGTTGAGACAGACACTAAACAGGACCAACGATGGAGAGGAAATACTGATTGCAGAGCTGTCAAAGGGGTAGCCCCAAAATTGTGTGGAGGGGCTGTGTTTAAAGTTGTATAAAAACCAAGACAGTTGGGGGAGGGGTTCGAGAGACTGCTGCTATTGCAGAGAATCCAAGTGCAGTTCTAAGCACACACATCTGACAGCTCACAATCACCCACAGCCTAGCTCCAGGGCATCTGATACCCTCACCTGGCCCCTATGGGTACTTGGGGGCCACACCACACACACACACACACACACACACACACTAAATCTAACAAAAAATTGATAACAATGGTTAGGGAAGAGCAAGGTTCCAGGTGAGCTAGGGATGGAGGCAAAGTCTCTAGGAGTGCTCAGCATCCAGCAGTCCCAAGTTCCAGCTTCCTCAGGGCATATCATAGAGTTCTATCTGCCAAGATGCATATTCTGGAGCTCCTGATTCTGACCTTTAAGCTGACAAAAGTTCATGTCCATCCCTGACACCCTATCTCTTCCTATAGTGCCATCTTCTTGCCTCATTTTCCAACCAAGTTATAAGAAATAATTGAGCAGAGGCAGACGGATCCCTGTGAGTTTAAGGCAGCCTGGTCTACAAAACAAGTCCAGTACAGCCAAGACTACACAGAGAGACCCTGTCTCAAACCTGCCCCCTCCACCCACCCCCAAAAATAAATAAAAAGAAAAAAAAGAGAATCAGTGATATCCTCAGGCTTGAAAAGAGTAGAGGGTAGGCAAAACTCAGGAATGGTCAAGAAAAGACACTACCTAGAGAAGTGTGTTTCTGCCAGTCCCTTATGGTTCCTCAGCTTCCTTTGACTCTTTTACCCATTTTCACATTTAATTTCCCTTTTGTGGACACTGAATGCCTGTTATTCTTTTCAGACATACCTACTCCTTTCTTATAACATAAAGTGGGCCTACCTCCATGTAGAGCGGGGAGAGCAGCATTATACATGGTGTTTGTCTTTCTGTACTTACTTTACTTCACTTAGCTGCCTCTGGTCCCACTCACATTTCAGGTTCTGATGTTCTAAGAAAAGTACGTTTCCTATAGCATATTGTTGTTTTCTCCTTGCTCTGAAAAAAATACTTTACAACAGCAACGTAAGGGTAAAAAGAGTTTATTTGGGTTCACTGTGTGAGGGTGTGGTCCATCATAGCAGGGAATGGGTGATAGAGAGAGCGTGAGGCAGTTGGCCACTTTGCATCCACAGTCACGTAGCAGAGATGAATGCTGCTGCTCCACTCACCTTCTCCTTTTTATTAATGGCCGTCCATACTCAGGGTGGGTCTTCCACCTCAGTTAAGCCTTCCCAGAAGTGTTCTCAAACAAGGCCAGAGGTGTGTCTCCTCAGTGACTCTCAGTCCTATCACTGTCACATGTAGTCTTCACATATCTCTGATATATTTCAAAATAACTAGAAAAGCCACAAGGTTCCATACACATAGAAATGATAGACATATGAGGTGCCAGAGTGGAAATTATCCTGATTTCATCACTGTGTGCTATAAATGTGACAATTACCAGACTGTTCTCCATAAAGCTGTACAAGTATTTGTAACAAATTAAGCATTTGGATTTTTTAAGAGAAAGACCCACATGTGACTAATTCTTCTCCCATGCAGACAAGCAGTCAGCAGCAACTCTTGAGCCCTACTCTGTCAGACAGAGGAGGAAGTAGGCAGGATGCAGCAGATCCTGGAAAACCCCAAAGGAAGTTCGGGCAATGGCGTCTGCCCTCAGGTAGGTACATCAAACATTTCTCTACCTACTGGGGACAGTTAAGAGGAATTTTCTCTCTTTGTTTATGTTGGGTATTAGATTTTATTTAATATTCAGGTCAGTATTAGTCAGCTTTCTGTTATAATAACTTCTGCCTGAGCAAATCCACTTAAAAGCTGGAAAGGTTTATTGGCTCACTTTGTTGGAGGTTTCAGCCCACAGTCAGTCAGTCTGTTGCTACTGGGCTGATAATAATGCTGCAGAACATAGTGGGGATGCATGCTGAGGAAGCTGCTCATCTTACTACAACCAGAAGCCAAGAGAAAGAGGAAGAGATCCCACAATGTTCTCCCAGGCATGATCCCTACTAGGTGCCTCCTTTTAAAAGTTCTACAGCTTCCCAACAGCATAAGCTAGGACAAGCCTCCAACACCTTTCCACTGGGGACATTTCAGGCCCAAACAGGGTGTGTACCTGATTGCTATAGACAGGGAAACTATGAAACGTATTCCCTTATCAGAAACATTCTCCTCACAGTGACTTCTATAAACATAACTATATTGGCCCTCATTTGCAGCTGCCATCGCTGGGAAGACGGCACCTGTTAACAAAATGAGCCAAGATCCAGAAAGAGAGGAGGAAGAGGTTTCCAAGGGCTTCCTGGGTACAGTCAAGGCATCTTAAATATGGGCAAAGCTTATCTAAGAAGGAATGGGTAGCTATGACCTTCAGATAAACCATGGAGTTCTCAGAGAAGGCTCAGGTCCCACTCTATCGCAACACATGCTGTGTAGCTGAGCTTATCACCACCCTGACACCCCCTTTATCTCAATGACAGCAGTGATAATGACAGCCCTTCACATAGCTCTGACCACTGTGCACCAGCCTCTACTCCAAGGCTATTGCCTGAGTTTCTTCACTCAAGCCTCACCATTCTTTTAATGTCCCACACTTTACTGATGGAGTAAGAGAGTTTTCTTCTGAGGAATGTGAGGTACCAGGATGATCTCATGAAGGAACACTCAGCAATAAGGAAAGAACAATTCTACACACAGCTGGGTCTCCTCTCTCTTGAATTCTGAGCAGATGGTGAATTAAGGCCTCATTCTCTCCTTTAAACCATGCTCAACTTCAACCTAAACAAGTGAGAATGGGTGGCTCTGAGCCGTCTTCTGCCACAAGTCTCTTCACAAGGCAGATGGCAACACAGTTTACATTCTGAAGCCAGAGGTGTGCCGTGGCTCTTAAAGCTACCACAAGGATAGAGCTGGTGAGGGATCAGAGATAACATTTGTCTGATCTAAGCAAAGCTAGGAGTGGTAGGAAATAGGGCTGAGTAGGTGCTGGAGCCACAGTGTCGAAAAACTGAAGTGACAGACTGGGAAGTTTCAGTTTCATCCTATGGGCAATTAGGAGGGAGAGATTAAAGATTTATGAGCAAGAGATGACATTTGCACTCTAGGCTGTAGGAAGACTGATGTGGAGACACAGTCAAGAGACAAGCTTGCCTCTGACAGTGTCCGGAGGAAGGTGACAAGCTACAGGATATTACAGCAAGCTGGACACTAGTGGTCAGGTCATGGTCCACACTGCCAGTCCAACACACGCGTATAAGAGAGATGACGTGGGAACAATGTCCCTCCTTGGTATTCACATAAATGGGTGACAGAGACATGCTGTCAAAACGCCAACAGTAGTACTTGTCTGTGTAGACTCTTCAAGAGTGGGATAACACAGAGACAAATGCCAGAAACATACTAAGTGCAAGGGGCAAAGGGAAAGAAGAGAGCATCGTAAGGAGGTGCCAGGCACCCACTGCACTGTCCGCTCTTCTCCTTAACCCATCTTAAGCCGCCCAGCAGTGCAGTGAGGACGTTTGCATGCTCTTTATTCTACCATGAGGAAAAGTTAGGCTCAGAGACACGCAACTGCCAGTGACCTCATGTTTGCAAATTACACATAGGACCCAAGACCAAGGCAACGGAAAGCCAAAGCCACGTGTGCTTTCCACACCTGCCTCTCCTTACCTCAAACCACACTACACTCGCTTCCTCTGTTTTCCTAATGAACGCCAGCTCATACATACCACTGCAACACTTCCATTTTACAAAAATTGGGGCTGTTTGTGTTTTCTGCTTTCCTTAAAGTAAAAGGAACCAGGGGCATATTTTCCTAAGAGCTATTATTAGACACCCGTGAACACAATTTTAATAAAACGATTGGAAAGAATCTTACTTAACATCTGAGATAGGATTTGGGAGCCAAAAGCACCACTGCTGAGAGTATCATGATTTCCCAGGAACGGCTGAGTCATGCTGAAACAGCAACCAGTTGACAACAGGGCTCTCCTTAATTTCACAGCCCCCAAACCAATAAGCCACTCGGTGTCTTCTGTTAACCTGCGGTTCGGAGGAAGGACAACAATGAAGTCGGTGGTGTGCAAGATGAACCCCATGCCTGATACGGCTTCCTGTGGCTCTGAAGTTAAGAAGTGGTGGACCAGGCAGCTGACCGTGGAGAGCGACGAGAGTGGGGATGACCTTCTGGATATCTAGATGGGAACCCAGACAAAGGAAGTCAGAGGGTCAAAACTGCTACCTAACAGGAAACACCATCATTCGGCAAGCAAACTGTAATTGCTATACACTGAATTTCACCTGGGCATTGGGTTTCCTAAATTGAGTTTTGTCTGTTTGTAGGAATGTTCTATCAAAGAGTATGATGTTGTGGGATTCTTGTTATGTATTAAAGAAAATTTGGGCTGATGCTATAGGCCAGTGAAAGATCACTTGCCCAACATGTGCGAAGCCCTGTGTTTGAATCCCAGAAACACAAGAAAATGTGTATAATGCAGTATTGATTGTATTAGCATCAATGCTAGATGTATATCAAGCATCCGTGCATCCTGTCCGTGTAAGCTAAGATGTATTCACCTGTACTCCTGTGTGATATTACTTCTCCCAACGAGCGCTAAGGCCGAAGTGGCCCATATTTGTAGTGCAGGAGTTACAGCTCTAGTTCACTTTCCCCGCTTGCAATAGTCATACTTCCCTTGGGAGAAACTATTTATGATTGATCTGAAAAGGTCAGCACTGAGTTCGTGCTAAAATGATAGCAGCGTCAAAACTACAGATTTTGAATTTTTAAAAGCATATTCCTTTTCTCGTTATTTTTTAAGATATGCAAGAAGTTCTTAAGAATCAGAGCAATTTGATTTCTCTCTCCAAGTTCTCTAATGGAAGTGTTTCCTGCCCCCAAGAAAGTAGTGCAGGTAGGTCTCATATAAAGGGACTGGCCCAGATGCTAACTGGTGTAAAACCAACCTGTAGGTGTGTTACTTTGGGGACATGATGAGACAAAAATATTTTGAAATCTTTAAAAGTTCTCTGACTAACTGAGCTTAGAAAACAGAGTAAAAGCATTAGACTCCACTTGGCTAAATGTTTTGCATTTGGGAGGGTCTCGTGCACGGCATGACTCACCTTTGCTGCAGGCATTTTGCTATGACTCAACAGGAATATTATGGGTTGGCACTAACCCCCCATTGCAATGCTAGGGTCAACGTCACTTCCCTGCTGCCAGGGTCACCTATGGAGATAACAGGCGGGTGTGGGGCTATCTCTGACTCCATTTGGGAAATACCACAGTGTAACTGTATTTTTTCCCACATGTCATTGGTGCATGTACTCATGGAAACTTAGACCAACAAAATTATCAGAAAACACTGATGGAACCTGGCTGGGCAGGGGCCTCGCTGAGTTGTCATTATCAGTTGCAAGCCTGATATTCAGATTATTTTAAGAGACTGAGTATGTGAAAGCCTCTAACACGTAGGCTGCTTTATGATGCCCTTTTCTATATTTAACATTCTTCAAATAGCTAAACATCATGGCCTCTCTACACAAAAAAAGTGATGTTATGTGACTATCTGTTGCTTATACAATTACTTGTGACTGTGATGTAACTGGCAATTCAAGTGTGTGCAGCCAAGGGGGATTTTTATTTGGTTTTATGTTTGCTCAGCATTTGATTTTTGTGTATAAAAACAAAATAAATATTGTATGTGCAAAAGAGTTTACTGTGACCTGGTTATCATTTTTAAAACCTTTCCTTGTATGTGTATGGAATGGGATACTCTTAGCTGGCATTTTGCAAAACCTATATAGAATATTCAGTCCATACTTGGTTGGCAAAAACTCTGTCCCTAATAACCAGTTAAGGTCAATTCTCAGAGCCAGGAAGTTCTTCTTCAAGGTGGCGCTGACACGGCTGAGTGACCATTGTACGTCTTTCAAACACATGTTGAGGCAGAGAAAGCAATCATGGCCAGACCATGGGTTGGAATGAGTGCTAAAGGAAGGGGAAAAAAGTTTTTTGGTTTTTTGTCTGTTTGTTTGTTTTTATTAGCTCATTCTATTGAGTAATACAGCTTCACTCCCACTAAACACTGGGCTTTTCTTCCTCGCAAGTCTGGAACGAACACTCAGAAAAGCATCACCATCACGCACTCTGTAGTGAAGCAAAGACAGAGCACACCATTGTAGTCAAAGCCACAGCATCCCCGCGTGTTCAGTTAGGACAGCAGACGTGGTCTTGACCATTTTAGTCGCCTCTGAGTGACTAAAGCATGTGGATTACCTGAAGCAGACAGAACACAGGTCAGTAAAATTAAGTATTGCACCTTTTAGATTTTACCGAATGGAATATGCAGGATTGGGTGATACAGATGGAAAACTCGGGCCACCCATGTTCCTTGGTCCTCAGAGGGCCAGTCACAGTGACAGTCCTGTCATCGTGCCACCCTTAATTAAGGACACTGGAAATCCTGAGTGGTGGAATGCTTTGTGTAGACCCCCTGAGAGAAAACAGACCACACAGACCTTGTCTGTGTGGCAATTCAAAGGGGCTCAATGGGATAGGATGAAACAGAAATTGTGTGTGATGCCATTCAGATATTCCTAGTCGCTTCCAGATCAGCGCCCATGTTCAGTAGCTCTCTGACTACACCCTCAAGATGCTAAATACAATAAGGGCACATTGATGGAAAGTGACTATTAAAAGGACTTCCATAAATGGTGGGAACTAGAAAAGATCGTCCTAAGTGAGGCAACCCAGAAGCACAAAGACACACATGGTATATACAATGTGTGTTATACACACTTATAAGTGGATATTAACCATATAATATAGAATAAAACTACTAAAATCCACAGCCCTAACGAAGCTAAACAACAAGGAGGACCCTAGGGAAGATGACTAATCCGTATTCAGGATAAACATAGGAAATAGGAGAAGACAAGGAACAGGACAGGAACCTTCCACAGAGGACCTCTGAAAGACTCTACCCACCAGGATATCAAAGGAGATACTGAGACTCATAGCCAAACTTTGGTCTGAGTGCCGGAATCCTTATGGAAGAAGAGGGGGATAGAAAGACCTGCATGGGACAGGAACTCCACAAGGAGAACAACAGAGCCAAAATACCTGGCCCAGGGGGGGCCTGCAGAGACTGATACTCCAACTGAGGACCATGCATGGAGAGGACTTAGACCCTGTGTTCAAAGGAAGCCCATGGCAGCTCAGTTTCCAAGTGGGTTTCCTAGTAAGGGAAACAGGGACTGTCTCTTACATGAACTCAGTGGCTGGCTCTTTGATCACCTCCCCCTTGGGGGAGCAGCCTTGCCAGGCCACAGAGGAAGAGGATGCAACCAGTCCTGATGAGACATGATAAGCTAGGGTCAGATAGAAGGGGAAGAGGCCCTCCCCAATCAGTGGACTAGGGAAAGAGAACAGGGGAGAAGAGAGAGGGTGTGTGGGACTGGGAAGAGACAAGGGAGGGGGCTGTAGGGAGGATACAAAGTAAATAAATCGTAATAAATAAATATATATATATATAATTAAATTTAAAAGAAAAAGAATAAGACTTGCATAAATGTGGCTTCTAAGACAGACATGCCTGCATGTCTTTCACTGTTAGATGTGGTTAGAGATTTGTGGGTCTGATATCTTATGTGTCACAAAACTGACAGTTTTGTGGTTTCTTACAAAGCTATTCAATGGATCCTAAAATTTGAACTAAGCAAAAGCAGCATATCACTAATTGAGGCTGGGGTGGAATAAGGGAAACTGTTTTCTTGCTTGCTATTATAGGCTGGCATCCCCGATGAACAGCAAGGTTGAAGTCCTCTGTCGCCTGTGAAGGAGCTCTTTGGAAATGCAGTATTACAGGGGTAATTACTGAGACCCTCATACGTGATAGGGCACAGTCTCGTATGTGAGTGGGGCACATCAGTTCAGTAAGACTGGCCTCCTAGTGAGAAGCAGCACCCAGGGAGCAAAACGCCCTGTGGAGACACTGGCATGCAGGGAAGGAGGGAGCAAAACGCCCTATGGAGACACTGGCATGCAGGGAAGGAGGCCAGGCAAGATGGAGGCAGAGGCTGGAAGGACGCTGCCATCAGCCACACTCGAAGCCACAGGAGTGGCAAGAGCCAAGGAGGGCTGCTCCCAAAGGCTCCAAAGAGCCTAACCTGCTACTACCATGCATTTCAACTGGTAGGTAGCAGAATTCGAGTGAGCAAACATCTGCTGTTTAAGGCCACCTAGTTTGTGGTGCTTTATGACAGTAGCCCTGGGACATTCATACACTGCTCCAACTCATTCCTGCCCCCAAAGATGGTTCAATTACCCTAGTGTGCCACGAAATCCAGTTCTGAAAATACCAGTATAGATCCAAGATTTATTTGTGTGTTTGTTGAGATATTTTTTAGGGTCTTATATAATGCAGGATGGCCTTGAAGTTTGCATTTAGCTAAGAATAACCTTGAACTCCTGATCTTCCTGCTTCCACCTGTCAAATGCTGGAACTGCATGCTTGTGTCACCAGGCTTAAACAAATGAGTCTTGGAGACTGACTGACTTTTCAAGCCCTGCATTTACTGGTTCCCCTCTATGGAATCTTGGATGAGTATCAGATTCACCTTATGCTGCAATTCAATACCTTAAAAATAAAAGGCAAGAGAAGAAACATTTTTCATTTACTTGAGGGTTTGACCAGTCTGTTAAATGGACAGTCTGGGCTGACTTGAAGCATCTCTGAATCATTAACCAAATAGCTATTCTCCCTTCCAGGAGTTTCAGTGGGTCAATCATTAGCCTTCCATTTCTTTAGCTAAGATTACTGTCAGGTTTAGCAACTACCTCAGGCCAAAAGCGGATTTGGAAGACAACTCTTTTCTTTCATCAGTATAAACCAGAAGAGAGCAATTCTATAAAATGACTCCCTGGCATCACTCCAAAAATACACCCAAAATTATTGGTAAGACTTCTTTCTCTTATCTTGTCATTGTCTTCATTCTGCAACTCTGCAAGTTGACTGTGAGTAAAGAGGCAGATTTTATAGAAGGAAGTGTCCTGAAACTCCAACATTCAATTTATATGTGAGACATTCAAGTCCCCACTAGAAAATCCTAGTTAGGAAAACACATGCCTTAATCTCTCCAGATATGAGAGAAACAAAAATGCAGATGACAAGTGGGATGCTCTATCAGCCTGAGCTAGGATGCGGCTACAGAGACTATCCTACCCTGTCCAGAGTCCTACTTCTCAGAGGGGCTGGAGAACATCCGGGGACCTTCTGGCCTGGAGAGGCCCTGAGACATGCATGGGCTCATATTTTGTGCTCATTTTATTTCCAGTTCTTTGTTCGAGCTGGAAAGTGTCCTAATGAGTTACTTTCCAAGATTCCATGCCATGGAGGCTGCTGGACTGGAAAAGAGAGCCCCAAAGAAAAAAACTAAGCAGTATTACTTAGGATGAGCTATCCTGCTTCCTTCACCATGCCAACACACTAGGACTATACTGGTGATTTTCAAGCTGGATTCCTTGGGGCATATGGTAATTTGAGTCATCTATGGAAAAGAGTGAGTTGGAGGGTGTGTATTAGAAAAGACTATGGCCTTCTCAAGCCTTCCACCTGCCATGCAAAGAAGTAGCCAAGCCACTTCTATAATAGAATCTACCCCCACATAAGCCCTGCCTTCTTGGGATTGCTTACTCCTCATCTTCCTTCAGAGACCTCTCTTATATAGACCTGGTATCTGATATATCCTGAGTAAATGCCTTTCTTACCCACTTCACTACCAACCCTACTGCCTGCCTTTGATTTTTCTCCAATGACAGGCTCTTTCTAACTCTGAGGACCTTCTCTTACCTGGCTTATCTTTCTCATCCCTCCACTCCTGATTAGTGTACTTCCTCCACTCCTCAGCACTCTAGTCAGCTTCATCTCCAGACAGAAGCGTCCTCATTGGTCCATAATTCTTTGTGGTATTTGCCAGTCTCACAAAATTGCTTGTGTGAGTTGTCCATGTTGGTGATTGCCTTCATAGGTCATCATCTTAATTATGTTTGTTATTATAATGATAAAATACCCAGAAAAAGGCAAGTTAAGGGAGAAAAGGGGGTTTGGAGGTTCACAGTTTGAAGTTACAGTTCATTGTTGTGGGAAAATTGTAGCAGCAGGTGCTTAAACCATCCAGACACATTACATCTATAGTCAAAAGCAGAAAGCAGTGACTGCTTAGTTCCCTGCTTAGCTGGTATGATCATGACACCCCCTCAAAAGCATGCTCAGAGACCCATCTTCCAGGCTGCTCTAGATCATGAAAGTGGCCCTTGAAATTGTGTCACAGGCACTGAGGCACAGCATGTCCAGGCACTATGCTTGTTTTAGCCATCTCTTCTGGTACATGCTGGGTACTTGACAAAAACATGCTGAATGAATGATTAGATGGGCAGATGGATGAGGAAGGACAATCTCACATGTCTTTCAAAGTGACACTCTCTCCGTGTATCTAGATTCGACATCCTGTTTGTGCTTATTCCCCAGGAATGTCTTCACACAGCTCATGTGCTTCACATAGGAGGAGCTGCAGTCCAGGACCAGGAAAAAGCAGACCTGCTCACTTCCCAGTGAGACAATTTAGATTCTCATTGTCTTTACCAGGAAAATCCAACATTATATGCCTGCTCCTCTCCCCACACCCATCATCAAGCTGACAAATCAA